CAGCGAAAAACCCCGAAGAGTGCAATGCCAAATATGCGGAAAAAGCTGGGAAAAGTCCTTGCTTGCCAACTGGCCATCAGATCTGATAGAGTGAGACAGAAATGGGGGGGTGGGAAAGGGAGTGGGTGGGTGTCTATGTCTGGGCATTGTGTTTCCCATTTTCCGTTTCCCGTTAGTTCGTCTTTAGCTTTGGCTGCGTGTCAAACGGTAAATTTGTGCAGCGGTCGGTCTCTCCCACTCTTGCCATTTACAGTAGTCATTCGTTAGATGAAACGTACCGCAAAGTACCATTCATTAGTTCCGTAAGAATTTTACTTCTTCTCTTGGTTAATATGGAAAAATTATTCTAGCCATGTATCTTCTTCTTTTCTTCTTTTGTACAAAAAGTGTATTATCCGTTTTTATGTGTGCAGTGTTAAAACTATTCTTACCAAGCTAGGACCGAGCTGTATCCCAAAAAGTTCGGTTGTATTACCAAATATGCTCCAGTTCCTTAAGGACATTTTCAGTAAGTTATTCTAGACAAGCTAAAACAAAGGTTCAGCTCTATCACAGATACTGAACAAGATCACTGAGGTTTGTATACGGTAGTAAAGTGCTTTGTGATCTAGAAAAATTAGAAAATATAAATTTGTCGCGAAACGTCAAATATATATTTTATCGAGCGATCCCTGTGCCGTGCATTTGTGTTTTGTCGCGCATATTAATCATAAAGCGGACACGCGTCGCTTTACGCACGTCTGCCGGCTGCGGATGCGGACGCGGATGCGGATGCGGAAGACAAGAGACTCTAGCCAGTAACCCGACACTCACCCTCCCCCTCCCCCTCCCACTGCCCCATCTTGAGTACCGTCCGCGTATTAGATTTAAGCGCGTTATAAATGAGCCAGGCCAATACACAAACACACATAATTTCTGGCTCCTCTTTTACTTGGCTTTCGTCTGCTCATAAATCAAAATTGTTCGTTTTTGGCATTTTTAAAGGCCATAGAACTAACAGTGGAGTTCGGGCTTTTTTTCGGTGACTTTCCGGGGGAAAACCGTCATGGGGGTGCGGGAGGTCCGGGAAAATGGACAGCCCTTTGCTGCTTTTACTGTCCATGACGGATGATTGGATTTTATGTTGATTACGAAAACGTCTGCGACTGTATTTGTGGGTGCAAGTCGAAATTTTTGGCTTTGCCTTTCAGAGATATCTTTTATTTCCCCCTGAAAAAATTAGGCAACAGTATTGCAAAGGGTAGCAGAACGGGGTATTTAGGGCTAATGGATGGGGTTGACACAACTTTGGTCAAACCATTTGATAATATAGATAGATTTAATTTCTAATACAAAAAGATTAAAAAGATTAAAGATTATATTATCAGTTAAAATAAAACCCATCGAATTGTCATTTGATCAACAAAATAGTTACTCTCCCAACAACAAAATGAACACCACTCACCATTTTATGGTACTTTTACTATTAAATAGTAAAGGAAAGTTTTTGCTATCCGTTTTGGAACATTTTTACCATAAAATTGACTTGTGTAGATAAATGAATAAATTAATTAAGGAATTTGTATTTTTTATTAATAACATTATCAGAAATGCATTTCCAAACAATCGTCAGAAATCAGAAAGTATTCTTTTGTCGTTTATCTATAGTTTTTGATTTTTAAGAATATCTAAATTGATAATTTACTGAGTATTATAAGTACTATACAGATCCTGATACCTGATGGCATTTCCTTAGTTTTGCCCCCACCGTTCGCTCCCCACTCGTATTTCCAATTTTAGTCCAGCCTGAACTACGCCATTATGCTTGGGGTGGATGGAAGTTGGGGCAACTGGGATATATCACATGGATATTTCGGTTATTATTGGCCATATTTTAATGCTCTCTAGCTGCTCCGTCTGTTTTGGGCCAACCGAGATTTGTCGTAGTCCATTTTTGATTTATTTATGTGTTTATTTGCCTTGTTTTTGGCCTTGCGTCTGTGATTACTCATGGCTCCATGGCTCCCTGTTCGCCGGTTGTTTGGGATGGCTCCGGTTCGATTTGCATATTATTTTATTTGCATTTTACATAATAATTTAATTTTATTAGTTTTACTGCATCCTCATCGACATGATGATGGTGTGCGGCTCAAGTTTTGCCAATCCTGATGGCTCTAATGGCACCTTGGTGGCCCTTCTTCCCCATCGATTATATGTATGTGGACTTCGAGGTCATTGGCCGACATTTCGTCGTGGCTTAATTTTATTTTTCTTTCTTTATTTTTATTTCTCTTTTTTGCTCTATTGGGGACACTTAATGTTAGCAACGCCTACTCGCCATTCGCTGGGTGTATACTATAATTTCTAGTTGCATTTTTGGGCATTTATTTTCACGGTTTACTTGTAGCATATTTCGCTGGCCACCACATTCATTTAACTTTGCGGTGCAGAGTGTTAGGAGGGGGGGAGGGGTCAGGGGTCAGGGGTCAGCGGGTCGCAGCAGGAATTGCTCGACAATTGCCGCAGTCTTTGGAGAGTCTTCCCAGCGCGACAGGCAGTCGTAAATTAGTTGCGAATGGCAGCAGTAACACCATCAACAACAACACCACAAAACAACAATCACACCAACAGCCGATGCAATAACAACAGCAACAACTGAAAAGTTCCACCGTGCAGAGGGAGAAAAGTTCAAAAAGTCGAAAGGAAAAGTTCAGGAAAAGTGTGAGGTGAAATTATTATCAAGTGCTTGCCACGAAATTTGCGGTTGCCTTAAATTGGTGCACCTGTTTGCGCTCAAGCGAGAGTGTTCTAATTCAACATATCCACATGGAAGTATAGTTTCCCCGACCAATTATTCCAATTTAAAAGCGGCTCCCCATTTCAAGTCAGCCCCAAAGCAGTTGTTTTAACTAACTAGCATGCACAACAATTACAACAACAGTTGGAAAAAATACACCAACATTAAAAATCTGAATTATGTTACCCGAATAACAAATCTACAACATTAAAACAAGCAAATGGGATTCCCTACAAACGCCTTTTAACAACCACAGGTTTGAGACCCCAAGCAATGACATCATCGTTATCAGTGCCATATAGCACGTAGACGCCACTCCAAATCTATTTTTTCCCCACATTAAACAGTTGGGAAAACAAATGGCACCGTCTGATGCCCAAAAAAGAATATAAACACTCGTCCCATCAGTTCAGAATTCCAAATGACTTGCAGACAAACCCGAAATTCTGACTCAGAGCCTTAACGTTCGATGCAATTCGGGCGGCTTCTGGTGGCGCTTGCCATTACCAATTATTTGCGCTGTTATCGCGACCTTCTTGTGCTGACCCCAATTTGGCCAATAAGGTTTCCTTGTCAAAATGAAAAAAATAAAAAGTAAATAGAAAGAAAAAAGTAAACACAAAGGAAAAGGGAGCCGCAAGCTTCGAGTTTCGAGCTTGTTGATTGCCCTCGCGTCTTGGCGCTGGCAGCTGATTGAAGTGCAAGGTGAGGCGGCGAAAGGGGGGCGCCGAAGGGGACGCCTCTGACAATTTCTCTCAGTGTTTTTCAGGGGAAAATGCAGGGGGTCCTTGGGCAGGTTTCTCTTTCACTTTTAATGGCAACTGGCATAATGAGCTGCTATGTGTGCCATGTGCCACCAGGCCAAATTCGAACTTGCTGCATTTGTTTTGGCCACTTGGGACCTGGCTGAAATATACCCCGTCCACGCCCCTATCGACGTCCTTTTTTTTTACCCCGCCCCTTGGCCAGCGTTGACACAATAAAATATTTGTTGTCGTTGCATTTATTGACGCATTTGCTCTTTTGCATATTTTGAATACTTCCATACCCTTTGAGGAGGTATGTCAATTGGAACCGAAGCTAATTCACCACCACAATTGACCACCAAAATAAACACCAATTAAAGTAATTCGATAATTTTACTCTGTTCATATGTACGAAGAGGGGAACAAAGATCTAAGAAATCATCAATATATCTTCAACAACAAAATAGACACCTTCAAGTGCATACACAATACAGTTTACAATTTTTAAACCAATAAGTAAGTTATCAATCAAAAGTAATAAAAATAAAAGAAATCGCCAACTAAAAGTACACCAATAAACAAGTACAACTATTAAAATTACGTCATATCGTATTAAATAATAGTAAGACACTGGAAACAACTAACTACATTTATTTTAGTATAACCTACATCACTAAAAGTTACACCAACAAAAGTACACCAATAAAAGTACACCAACAAATAATACACCAACAGAGTAGAAACCAAGAGTAAAACCTTAAGCATGTAAGTACAAAATATACACCAATAAATGAACACTGATCAAAGGTATACAAACGAATATAAATATTTCACCAGAGTTACACCAACGAAATTTACAAAACAATAAAATCAATATATAATAATAAAATGTCTCAGAAAAGTAATTAAAAAACAGAGTATTCACTATTTTCGCACCTCGTGTCCCCATTTCTCTCCCCTTTTAGCCGTTCTTGCTGGGGCTCCGCGACATGCGACAAAATAAAATGTAATTTCTCTTTCAGGCCCAGTTCCAGTTCCAGTTTGCAGTTTGCAGCTCCCAACCCTGGCCAACATGCGACAATTCAATGCTGACAACAACGACGAAAAATGGCAAAAATAACAACCATAGTAACAACAAAATATGCAAATCGTAGTTTCTAGTTGGGCGAGGTCAGGCACACGGGGTTTGGGTTATTGGCCAAATTGGAGTCAAGTGCAATCGTATTCCCGCCCCATCGAACATAAATAATTTAAGAGTGTGAAAACAATTTTTTCCCCTTTTTGTGACTGCCCTGTCCGGAATTTTGTTTAGATTGTGTTTCGGTTGACTGAAAATAATTACAGCAAAAAAAACTGAACTTTGTTATTTGTATAATCCCGTTCAAATGCGATATTCTGATTTTTAATTGTTATGCTTTTTTAAATGATTTTATTTTGATGTTAGTTTTGTGTCATTGCCATTGGTTTTGTTAGCCCGCTGCCCTTTGTTGACTTTATTTATGCCGTACATTTATATTCAAATATGGGGCAGTGACATTTTAATTTCGGATAATTTGCATGCCAAAGAGATCAGCTGTTTGATTTTAAATCATAACTTTCCGAAGGTCTTCATTAAATTGAATATTTCTTGGGTAAACATTAGATTTGGCACAGTAATTGCTAATAACATCATGTAAATAATATCCAGTTGGTAAATTAATTTAAAAATAATGAAATGCAGAAATGTACTAATCATTTCGGTTTAGGCTTTACATTTAGGTATATTTTTTAGATTTTGTTGTTCAAGCATGTTTATGTGGTTTTGTTACTTTAAATATTTTTTAACATCACACATTGTTTTGACTGTGTTTTTAAGATTTTGTTTAGCTTTTTGATATTTTCCAGACTTATATGAGTTTCAAATGATTTTTTGAGGCTGGTATTTTGCCATGCAAGAACCAACGGATCGCATGGAGGGCACTGTAGGAAATCAGTGCCCTCCATCCAAGCCGCCGAATCAGGCGGTCAAAAGATCAGCCTCCTGCTTCTTAATCTCCGAAAAGTTGGGAGAATAGTTGGGGGAGGTAAAGAAACTGGACCTGTTGGAGAGTTTGGTGCGCAGTCGCTTGCTGGTCACCAACTGGGACATCTTGCGGAGCGTTATGTAGTCCTTGTTGAGCATGCGGCACAGTTCGATGAAGGTGCACAGTTGGGGCGACTTCAGCTGGGTGGCCAGATCGTAGGCGACATTGAGGACCTCCGTTTGCCGCTCGTACTTGTGGAGCACTGCATGCGACTTGGCCATCAGCATGGTGCTGAGGAACTCCCAGATCCGGCTATTGCATCCCCGGGCCTCGTCGATGGCCTTTTGGGCGTAGGACAAACTCTGGACGAAGTGGTTCTTCTGCATGTGCCGGTCGGCCAGTTCGTGGAGCAAGTAGCTCCTTTCAATCGGAAGGCGGGCAAATAACAGGCGTTTCTCCAGGTACTCGATGAAGTTTCTAAAACCGAAAGGTTATCATACAATTTAGTGTATCTTGATTAATTTTCCTGTAAGTAGTTATAGATTTTATACAAATTGAGAAACTTTCCTATACGTAAGCAGTGGGTATTCTAACTTCGGTCCGGAATTGTATACTATACTACTACACATACTGTATTTAAATAAATGGTATATTTAAATGTATATTTGATCATTTACAATTTGTATAAGATTTAAGAATTAAGTGTTACATTTTAGAAAAATCGGTCAGTCATATCATATTTATCAAATAACTGCTAAGTGAAGGATAGTAATGTTGATATATTTTTATAGTAAGGGTAAGGAAGGATTTAAAAACCTCAAAACTCAAAAATAATTATAACTTAGCCGTATGGTTTTAACTAAGTTAATTATATCCAAACTCACTGATCTGCCAATCGGTCGGTGCTCTGTTTTTCGGGACCCGCATAAGAATATGTGGATCGGTCCCCAAAGATGAACTCCGTGTGCTCTAGGGGCTTGGCGGTGGGTATGTTAAGCAGACGGCACATGGCGCTCTTGTCGTAGGGCGTGACCCGCGTGGGCGGCAGGCGGTATCCCTCGCACAGGCTCAGGGCTAGATTATTGTACACCTCGTTCATGAACTCCGCTTTCCAGGGCATCAGACGGTTCGTCTTGATGACCACATAGCTGCCCATCACATCCTCCACGAATTTGCGAAGGCGCTATTTGAGTAACAAGTAAATAATCAAGAAATTGATATTTTAAATCTGATTGGCCTTTACTCACCTTGAGGTCATGCTTTTTCCTTAGCACCTGAATGGTTCGCAGGATGCTTAGCATATTCCGCCTGGTCTGGTACTGAATCCTGAACAAATTCGATTCCCGCATGCGCGCCTCCATTCGGGGACTTCGCTGAAAGCACTCATTGTACATGGGACTCCGGGCCTGAAGCATCCGGGTGAAGGTCTTTAGCCGCTTAAATGAATGCTCCAGGTACGCGGTTCTATCCGGCGAGGAGCCAAAATTGTTCTCCAACAGGATATTGGGATTTCGGCGAAGCGTTTTCAGAAATATAAAATCAGTCCAGTTGCGACCCAGATAGTTCTGATAGTAGATCTTCGTCTTGCGGCGCCTGCGTTCCATTTCCAACGGGGAGAGCATCTCCTCCTTGCGATCAATGCTGCTCTGGACATCGCACTCGTTGCGCTCCTTCAGGATTTTCCACAGCGGTCGCTTGTCCGACTTTTGCGTCTCCTCCTGCTGATGGTCATAGAAGCCGGGCAACTGGGACGAGTGCTTCATGAAGAAGTTCGCCAGACTGAAGCCGGTGCAATCCTTGAGATTCCCATCGACCACCAGGAGGCGATTTTCGAAGGCCTTCAATGCGGTGCCCGCATGCCGACGAACATTGTCGTGCAGCAGGCTCTTGTTGTCCTCGAACCGATTCAGTTCGTACAGGGCATCGGCCAGTTCCTTGGACACATTGGCATTCCAGACCTCCCTCACCTCCGTGGCCCGCACACTGTCCTCCAGGGCGCCCTGGATGAGGGCCACCGATCTCTGGAACTTGCTGCGCAGATACAGGGTCTTGTGGTCCAGCCCCTCATGCTCTTCGATGCACTTGTCGAAATATGCGTGGGCAAAGCTGTTCCTTCGCATCCTCGCAAAGTACTGGCCCCAACTGCGGTGGATCCATCGCTGCTGCTCCTTCGGCCAGTCGATGTTCTCCCACGGTCTCTGATTCGCCACCAAAACGCCCGTCGGTCCCAATAGACTGGAGTCCTTCATCCTGCGCCCAAGTCTCCTCGTCGGTCAGGTAAAAAAATAAATAAAAATAACTACAGGGAAAGCCCTAAAAATACAAGTGCTACAAAAAAAAAAAAGGAAACGAAACTAATTTGTCTCTCCTAAAACAGAAATTAATATGAGGTAAAAGTCATGAATACATGCTAGGATCTTAAAAATAAAGTAGTAATAGTAATACTTTCAAAAAATAAACCTTATAAGAAGTTATGAAATGGAATTACACACATCATCCAGCTTATGTAAGGAAACGTAAGAACGTAAGGCCCTCTGTTTATCAGCAGTTGAACTGTACACGTTTTTCAAGAAGCACAATATTCGTTGAAAATGTGAGTATAATATATGTAAATCTTCATTAACGACAACCAATAACCATAACAGCAATACAAAATCCAAATACAAAGTGGTGTGTACAAATATCAGTGCTCAGGATCGCCGGCGTGGGGATCACTTTTGCTGGAAGGGATCCCTTTCGATGTTCTTGTCCAGCCGCTGATCGCCATCGGCCTCCACCTGCGACAACTGGCCGAATCCCTCCTCGTCCACGAAGCAGATCTCATGGCCATCGGGATCGCCGAGGATCACAACAGAGACGGTGGCCTTGCCAGGCGTATCCAGGGTGATCAGGGGCGTCAGGATGGCGCCGCCAGCTGCTGTCACAGCCTCTTGAAGCGGCGGCTGCTGGGCCGCCGGAATAGCAAAGGCAATTCGTCCATAGGCCTTGGCCCTGTTCAGTGGCTCTGCGATCTGGGTGATCTGCAGGGAGGCCTGCTCTCCGCCATAACTCAAGCGCAGGCTGCCCTCACCCTCCTCGAGCACTTGCATCTGCAGCAAGTCGTGCCAGTACTTTCGCGAGTTCTGGAGATTGCTCACATTCAGCTCCACCGATTTGACAGGGTCGGAGCCAGCGGACGGTTGATCGATCACATAGAACTTGTAGCCATCTGGCGAGGTCAGCAGGCTGCCCGCCCTTCCAGCCACCTGCTTCACAGGATACGAGTGCTCGGCGGCCCGGGAAAGGATATCCTTGGAATGTATGGTCACGCCGCCAAAGTCGTTGCCTGCATTAAACAGGAAAAACTCCGATTAGTAGGGATATTCAAACACACACTAAGCTTTTCTGCTTTTAAAATTTGCTTTATAATCTTTTTTTTTCCATGGTTAATTATTTGAATCCTGAAGCTAAAAAGTACTCACTAATAAATTTATTAAGAAATTATCAAGCAGTGTAAAAAGACCTCGATGATAAGTTGAACCCATACCACTTGCTATCTGTCTAATAACTTTTATTATTTGAAAAACATGAAGTGAAATTAATACTAAATGAATTAATTTGTATTCATACACATATGTGTATCAAATCAAGTTTTAAGGCTTTTCCTATCACTTAATTTTGTGGTTAACATTAATCTTTGAGCGTTTTTTAAAATAACTTCACTGACAGTCGATAGATTTCTGCCTCAAAGATAACTATTTGCTTACTCATAAAGCAAAAGATTATTAACCCATTATCTGCAAGGAATTATGCCTAGTCACATATCAAAGAGCTATTAATAGTGGAACACTTAATTATAAAATTGGCGAGGACAGAACAACTCAATTGTACGTGCAGATAAGCCAACCGAATTTTACAAGTACAACTTTGTTAAAATCATTCAGATTTATCGAAGGTGAAAAGAAAGTATCACGTGAGTCTTGCGATGTGTTCGAGTTTAGAGAATTTAGTCTTCTAATAATCTATAAAATATAATATAACAGAATAAATAGGTAGACAGATTAAGCATATTTAAACTGCGAAGCCCAGACTAACTCAATTTTCTACACATATTTAAAAATCCCAAAGGATTCGAAATACTAGGCAACTATTTTAATACTCTTTGACCTAAAGGAAAAGGATTTAATGGAGATCATATTTCCAGTTTTTGAGTTATTTGTCAGCTTTACTTAATCGCTTTTATGGGTCTGGATGATGCAATTTGATGTCCTAATGGCTAAGGATATTTAACCCTTGCGGGGCTTTGTTTAATATATCTCACCCATTTCGTAGCTGCTCACTCCATAGTTATAAGTCAGCTCAATGACGAAATGCGAACTTTCGGGTCCATAACCCACCATCGTTTTGCTCCACCGGTTGTCGTAGGGCCTGCCAAGGGTTAAGGATTACCGGTTAGTCCTGTGCCAGGAGCATTCCCCACCCATATAGTCATCTCCCTCGCACTCACCCGTTGCAAGCGGCATCGCATCCCTCCTTGAATTCCTCATGCCGCAACACCTGTTGCCGTGCGACAGAGCGAGATGGCACAGAAAAGAGGGAGAAAAACGAAAGAGAAAAAGCAATTTTAACATCGTCATTATACGATATTATTCGACATCTGGGCTTTTTAATTAGCAGACGCGCGACGTTGACAAGATGTTCAGATAAAACGACAGCCAGACGTTATAACTGGCGATAAGAAAGTCTGCCGATTTTGGAAGATATCCCCCGTTTCCCCTCCGCAGCACCCCCTCGCTCACCGACATTCCCAATATTTGGCGAAAGAAAAAGGCGTTTTTGGCCCTATCTCCGATTTTGAAAACGTAGTGCAGGGCACGTCCCGGAATGGCCGACATCTTTGGGGCTTGTCGCTGGGGATTTATTCAGCAGGTTACGAGTTTCGGGGCAAAATGTTTGACGAGCGAATTTCGACCTTGTTTATGTACATTCAGGGCTGTGTGACCGTATTCAGAGCGCCAAATAATGCCGACTGTCGGGAGCTTTTGGGTATATCGATAGTCAGTTGTGAAATATCGTGATATCGCACATCTCTATATTTTTAAATTAGTATATTCTTTAAATTTAAAATTAACATCGTTTTTAAACTTATCCATTATTTCAGAAAACAAACATAAGAAAAACGGAATTAAATTTGCACCCCAAGATAAATGAAGTATTTCAGTAAACGGGATATATAAAATCATTTAATACATTGTAATAGCAACGTTAAAAAACGCTTAAGGTTAAATATTCAACAATTTTTGCTAGGTATAGCACACCGTGGAATATTCGGCCATGATCGAGGCTACGATTTCTTGGGAATTCATCGAATATACACATATATATTGGATGGGCTTACTAACTTAACTCTAGTTCATCATAAGGCTTTCGAAGTGCTCGATTTAAGGTCATGAAAGTGCTCTTCTGACAGCTCCATTTGCGGATCGTCGTGTGGTTCTGCGTCCTGCTCTAACTTGTGCTGCCACTCGGGATCTTGTGGGTCCTCCAGCTCCAATTTGTGCTGCCATTCCTCCAGAGGACATTGCTCCGGATCCAGCTCCCCATCCTGGCACTCTTGATCTTGTTGTCTCTCCTTTGGCTGCTTGGTTGCCTCGTTTGCGTGGCCTTCCTTTGGGTGATTCCGTTTCCTCAACTTTTTCTTCTTGCGAAGTCGCTCCAGGTGCTCTTCCTGATCCTCTAGACTCTCCCGATCCTGGTCCTGCTCCTCCCTTCGCTTCCTGTGGGCCTTTCGGCCACTGTGCCTCCTTAGATGCAACTCCAGAGTCTGCCGCGAAACGCAGGGCTCCTGGCAATGGGCACAGGCAAAGGGCCACTCCTCGGCGGCCTCTGCTGCTCCGGCGCCAGTGGACCCGACGTGCAGCCGCTCGTGCCGCACCTGCGAGGCGTGCGTGCCGAACTTCTTCTCGCAGTGGCCGCACTGGAACCTCCGCTGGCCCTCGTGGACCACCCGAACATGCCGGCTGATGGCGCTCTTGTGGCGAAACAGCTGCGGACACTGCTCGCACTTGAAGCGCTCCCAGGTGGGATTGTGGGTGCGCAGGTGGGTCAACAGCTCCGTCCGCGTCACCTTGGCCACGCCGCAGTGCTCGCACACGTGCTCCTTGCGCTGGGCATGCCGTTTCAGGTGCTCGCCCAATGCATTCTTCGTGCTATACTGCCGGTTGCACAGCTCGCAGATGAGGTCGCGCAGCTCCTGCTGCAGTTGCTCCAGCTGCGGGTGGGCGTTGCGCATGTGGGAGCGCAGCTGCTCGTACCGGGTGAAGCATTTGTCGCAGCTGCGGCACAGGAAGGGCTTCGAATAGCCCTGGTGGACGCTGCGGATGTGGGCTTCCAGGTAGGGTAGCTTGTACACCTGCTTGCCGCACTGGTCGCAGGCCAGGCCGGCGCGTCTCTTGTTGCCAGCGGGCTGGTTGAGCTGCTCCTGGCTGTCCGCGTACTCCTCTTGGTACTGCTGCTCCTCTAGCGCCTCCTCCTCCTCCTGATCCTCTTGCTTCTCTGCCAGCTCCTCGGGCATGCCATCCGCCAGCTTTTCCTGCTCTGCCCCCAGTTCCTGATGGTTTTCCTTGACATTTTCTGCTATGCCTTCCTCCAGTGGCTCCTCCTTCACCTGCGGAAGCCCTAAGAAAGTATTAACCCTGGTTTAATCACCCGTAAAGGGGCATATATATCCACCCGGTCCATCGCCTGCCATTCGCTCAGCTTCTGGCTGGATTCCCTGGCCACCTGGCAGAGCTCCTCGAAGTAGACGACCGCATTGTGGCACAGGTTGCATATCTCCGTGGGCAGGCCGTGCGGCTGCTGCAGGATGTCGATGTCCAGGAACTTCTGGAGGATCGCGATGAGTCGGGTATCGGGGCACTGGCTTTCCCGGTCCCGCAGGTGCCGCAGGCAGATCCTGCACAGGCGGGCCAGGTCGGTGAATGCGGTGAACATCGTTGCGGATCGTGAGGCACCAGAATGCAACGCCCTAAGTCGAAAAGCAACCCTTTTATTTCCCTTTTTTCTTGGCCAATTTTTTACACCCACTGCCGGTGTGACCAGAGCGGAGCGACACCTGTTGCACCGCTTGGGATCGGATCGGTCACTGTTTCGGTCACTCTTTTCGTTGCCGTTATCGTTACCGATCTGTTTATTCATGGTCTTAAACCACAATGCGTTTTAAATATATATTGCCTTCTTTCCTGAGAGCGATTAGAATTCATGTTGATATATACATGTGTTGCATATTCTACAACCTAAATCAATCTTTTCGTGGGGTTCTATGAAAATATATTATTTAAATAAACTTTAAAATTGTTAGCGTGAAATACATTAATGGGCAAAAATATTCAAGAAACGAAATTGATATTTATAAATTTTAATTGTCATTGTGCCAAAATTCATTAGACGCAGTGACAGTATATTTTCACAGCCCTAATTATTAGGCGGTAACAGAATTGCGCCTGAAATTTGAATTTTAGTATTGACCATATGGGGATATATCTACGCAAAAGTACGGTCACACGCGAATGCTAGGTGGGTGACTCGGCTATGGCTGCCAACATTTTGGTGGGACCGTACTGACACTTACGTTTGCTGATAGCGATAACAGCGATATATCAGGTGAAAAATATCACGATATTTGCTTATATTCAGAAAATATCGATATATTAATATTTCACATTTCTAACTGGAGGCACTTACGTTGGTACTAAATCCCTCTTTTACAGACACTTACGTGGCTCTTACGTAGCTAACACTGACGTTATCTGGCTCTTACGTTTGCTGACAGCGGCGAAGCGATTGCAACAATTGCGATATATAGCGATACTGGTGATATATCGGGTAAAAAATATGACCATATTTCTTTTCATTGAAAACTATCGATGTATTGATACCTTGACATATTGTGTCAATGTGTTTTCACATCTCCAATAATTTGGTTGGTTTTTTTAGTTTTTTAAAAAAGTCGTGTTGCCGCGATCGGATCGGATTCCGCACTACCTGGACTACCTGGTGCCCAGCAACGAGCAACGTAACCTTTGACCGCACGCACCGCCTTCCATCGCCCCCAGTGAAATGTCGCTGAATCCGCAGTACGAGGACATCGGCAAGGGATTTGTGCAGCAGTACTATGCGATATTCGACGACCCGGCGAATCGGGCGAACGTGGTCAACTTCTACAGCGTGAGTGTTGTTGTTGTTGTTGTTGCTCTTGCTTCTGTCTCCTCCTTCCCACCGCCTTTATCCCCATCTGCTCCTCCTCGGCATCCATCTGTTGCTGTCCCTCTCGCACGCAGGTGACGCGCGACGCGCCCTTGAAAAATTCCGCCTCCTTTCGGCAATGCAATGCAGAAAAAGAAGGAAAGGAAAGGGGGCGCACAGCGAAAAAGAGCGCGCAAATAGCAGCTGGAGATATATCACCGGGAAGTCGGGAGAATAGGACGAAAGGGGCGATCATGGGCGGTGGGGGTTCTCGAAGTTTCGGGTGACACATTACGCCCATGCTCGCATAAATAAATACACACATACGAAATATATGACCAACATACAACCGAGGGCAGCGCAATAGCACCCAGAAATGTTATAAACATGAATATATTTGTTATATTTTTATTTAAAGACAGAAAACGTTTGACGTATGAGATTGGCTTTTATGGCCAAAATACAACTAAGGGCAGCGCAATATCACCCAGAAAATATTATAAAAATTTTAAATTATATATTACCATGTTCTATAGGTTTTTGACCAACATACAGCTATGATCTTCGGAAAACACAATGAATTTGATTTATCAAAGGCTCACTTAAGATACATGTACATCATACTAATATCTGCACTTTGTCGGGAGAAAAGGCTTCTAAAGATTCAAAGTATTGAACAATTTTAAGTAAAAGTGATAAATGAAACCATTTAGAAACAACAGCAAACAGCTATCAGGCAAAATAAAACAATTACCATTCTCTGCTCCAGATAAATATCAAAAAATATCAATCACATAAGCATTTAATTGAATTCAAGAATCTAATCACACCTTCAATTACTTCCAGGCTACCGACTCCTTCATGACCTTCGAAGGTCACCAAATACAGGGTGCACCCAAGATCCTCGAGAAAGTTCAGGTAAGTGCTGATCCTACACAACCTGTGGGGCACAATATTAACACCTCACATTCTTGCAGAGTCTGAGTTTTCAGAAGATCACCCGAGTGATAACCACAGTAGATTCGCAGCCCACATTCGACGGCGGAGTGCTGATTAATGTCCTCGGACGGCTACAGGTAAGCAGATCGATCGCCACAAGAAGGAAACACGAATCATCCAGGGAAAACTCCCACAACTCACTGTCGAAAAGAATATGGGATGACTGCCTGTTGTTCAGCGGCGGTTGGAAGAATAGCACTGTCTATGATCGAATTTCATCACTTTTCCAAATTGTAGTCCCTCTTTCGTTTTACCAATATTTTAACGCAACATTTTGCCACGGTATCAAAGCCCAGAAGACCTAAATAATTTTGTTCTTAACTTCACATAAGATAAATATATTCATTACTCGCACTGTTACTCTCATATATATATCTTTTTAACTTTATTTTGTATACGATTGCTTGACTCTGCCACATTTGATGATTCTATGAAATTCATGTCTGCTAACCAAAAGCTTTTTTAGGTATAATGTAGTCCTAAACATATTGATTACCCGCGATAGGTTCATTTTCTTAGAAAGCGTAGGAACGACTATTAAATATCAAGATAACTATAAACCTAAGCACATTTTTAGACTGAAAGTCTTAAGTAATTTTGCAGTAGGTAACCAATAATGATCTAAACATCCCAAAACTAAAAAACTATATTATCGGTTTGAACATGATACATAGACGGTCCTCGAAGTAATCGAGAGTAGAGGATATGAAATCATTGCTCGCATTCGGTTAGGGTCTTGAACTCCATTTCCATTTCCCTTTGGGCAGTGCTATAAACCGACCGCCGCGCATCGAATACACCATGTGCATTGTACACCACCTGTATATCTCGTATATCTCAACTCTGGTTACTATAAAACACATCAAAACCGATGCAGACCGATGAGGATCAGCCGCATGCCTACATTCAGACCTTCGTTTTGAAGCCGGTGGGGGGCAGTTTCTTCGTACAGCACGACATATTCCGGCTCTCGCTGCACGATGTGTAGCCCCACCGCCCCCGATTTGCCACGCCCAGTCAACAGGCTCTATATACAAATCGAGATCCCGACCGTGACAAGCAGCCCAATGATCAGCCTCAGCCAGCAGCGACGAGACGAGACCCAGTTAAAAAGCGAAAGAAAACTATATCAAAGCGATAAGATAGTTCTGCTGTTTGTCGACCTTCTGCGCCCAGCCCCGCCCACTCCGCCCACAAGCAAAAAGTCCAACTTCTTCCAATTGTCCTCACAGTACGTGAATGCCCAACGATAATTAACAAAAGCAAAGTGTTGCGCATTTCATTTCGAGCATGGTTTGCGTTAATTTTTGAGTTGGTTTGGTTCTTCCTAACTTGTTAGCTTGCAGTTGGTCGCTGGGAAGTGGGAGCTTGGAACCTTATGAATATAACATTTTAACGAGGAAGTTCCTTTTGCACTGATATTGTGATAAATAGATGTTTATAAATGTCTTTCCTCTACATATACTGTCCCTTTAGACATCATTTTCAAACTTATCTAATTTATTTACCGTTTGCCTTCTAAAATATCCTCAAACACTTTCAAAAATGATTGATAATGACGCTATACAACAAAAACACGAATTAACAAATATAAACTATAATTGTTAGTCATGAAATACATGTTTATTTTATAGCTATAGTACTATATAACACCTTGCACATTAACGGAGGCATTGAAATCAAACCTTTGTTTAAATGAGTTCACGGTGTGATTTGAATTAAAGTGTTTATTTTAAGCATAACCCATATTCGAGGGTTTAGTTCTGGTCAGCCAATTTGCGAGCGACCACTGTACAGTGAACACTCACCTGCACACGACCAATCGGCCGCCAGTTGTACTGTACACCCCTTTTCCTCTGACCCCGGCTTGAAACTGTGTGTTTTCCTTTCCATTTCTAACTTAAAACCCCGAAATTGGTTTATCGCACGCTTGTTAATAGACTAAAACGATACAGTTCGATTGACATTTGATTAATATACGTACGATTTGATTGTTTTGCAGTGCGACGACGATCCCCCGCACGCCTTCTCGCAGGTCTTCGTCCTGAAGGCCAACGCCGGCACCTTCTTCGTGGCCCACGACATCTTCCGCCTGAACATCCACAACTCTGCCTAGGAGCCCCCCACTCCGCTGGACGTGTGTCCAAAACTATTTATCCGCACCACTCAGCAACACACACACACTCAACCGACATCCAAAGATGCCCGGCCCCCAACGACATCAACTGGCCGGCAGTGGAACTCAATAGAAAAATAAAACTAACAATGCAAAGCAGAAGCAGCAGCAGCAGCGGTCTCACGTTTATCAACAGATGAAAAAAGCAACAGAAAAAAAAGAAAAAACACACAGTAAAAAGAAGAACTAAATTGTAACTACTATTACGATGTAAACAAAATGGGCCACCAGCTCACCCATTCTTGTGTCCCATTGCGCCCGGTACTCTCGATTTGCGGGGCCCCATCGAATTGTATGTTCCGCGAACACCTGGATCTCGGGATCTAATTTAGCTAGGGCTATCAAATTTGGCATGTGGTCTGCTACGAGCTTGCTTTTCATTTTCCCAGGAAAATAATCAAAAACCGTTGGCAACTACGTGCACTAAAATTGATTGTTTGCTTAGGTATTTCCTATAGATTCTATACATTTTCACTTGAGTCTTATTCGGTTATGTACTGTAATTATTGAAATACTTTTAGATAGCCGTATTGCAATGTTTTGTATCGAATACCCACTTCTTAAACCGTGGCCTGAGTACCGGGACTATAACATGGTCGAGAATATCGACTCTAGCTTTCTTGTATGACTAATTGAGTGATGGCGAATTACTTTTTATTGAGACAAAAAAAAAGAACACTTAAATATAAAGATTAACGTTAGCAGTTAGCTTGTTTTTTTATGATTGGTGGAATTGCAATTTAGGGCGGCGAAAAAAAATATGTGTACTTAAAACTATTAAATGCATCAAAATGAAGCTCCAGAGGATTTGGCACAGTGGTTTCCGGCTGAAAGTGATTCACTTGTCGCGAAATGTGAAGACGGCATCGAATCCGAAGAGCACCCCGTTGACGATCGACAGCGAGGCCTTGATAAGCGCGAGGTCCCGGGTTCGGGTTCGGAAGGAGAACTCCCAGGCCTCGATGATGAACACACCGCTGGCCACGAACAAAGTGCAGCCCAGGACACTGAAGAATATGTCGATGCGCTTGTGTATGGGAGCCCGCATCAGAACACCTGTATGTATTGATTATTTTATGCAAGAACTTAAGATCTGTATCAAAGTGTACCTGCAAAGACCCCAATGACCACTATGATATAGCCCGTAAAGGTGCCAGTGGCCAGAAACGATGTCATTATGTCGCGATCGTTGAAGCTGTAGAAATGAAGCACTAGGCACGCTACCGCAAAGCCCTAAAAATATAATAGAGATAAGGGGACTTTAATTTATGATCATAGAAATAAGTTGTTATAATTATTGAAAATCCAAATTTGGATTTCCTAATTATTCCGAGTGATAGAACAAAGCTCACAGAAATAGGTTAATAATTCCCAAGTTGTTTTTTGAGAGAGATTTTGAATTGTTATAAATATTTGTAATCCAAATCCGTGGAGTAACGTTTCTGGAAATCGGCTTATAATTCCCAAGTTTTTTTTTTTTTTTGAAAAAAAAAAAATTAAAAATTTTGAATTTTGATCCGATGCGATCTTAATAGTTTTTCAATATATTGTTTTCCATCACAACGTAGGGGATCACTAGAAAAAAAAATCCTTTACCAATTCCAGAAACTTGACCACATTGAGGCGGCCTTTCCGCTCGCCGTGAGACATTTTGTGAAACTGCTGCCGCTGACAGTCCTCGAAAATGTGGTCCAGTTTGAAAATCGGTATTCCGTAGCCCAAAAACCGATGTGAACTATTCCGGTTGGCTTTTATTTCGGACGTGTTCGCGACGACAGTGCGCTGGATAAACTGATTCGAATGGATGTCAGATAGCATGCAAATGCTACTGCAGTTGGGCGCAGTCACAGAGTCACAGCCGCCGAAATTAATTAATTACACTTAGGAAATAGGCTTTTCATTCGTGGCCCCATCTCTGCTTATCCGTTGACGTTTACTACCCGGGCCTCTCGGGCTCGTCTGTGAAGTGGACACCGTCTGGGTTTTCCGCTGTAAGCCGCACTCGAGCCCCCATCCCTTAGAACCTGATTGAGTGGAGCATAATGACTATATGTGCATATATGGTATGCATGCTTGGGTCGGATCTGGGTAACCGCCCTATAGAATCATTGTGTTCGCATTACCATTACCCCAAATTTGCTGGCAGAAGGTTAGGCCCAAGATCGGAGCTATTTCCCGGAATTGGGGCCAGCGGGTTAGGTCGCTAGTTTTGAGATGGCTAAGTGGATAATGAAAAACATATCGTTTTGACGAATGTTAGGTGGGGAAATCGCTTTCTTAAATTGTGATTACCGCGAGGCTATTATTTCGATGGGTTATTATGGGAAGTTTATGCGATTTTGCAAAATATTGTTAGTTTCTGACTGATTTGAACTGCTGTAGAGGTTAATTGGAACATTTAAAAATATAAACAGAAATCTTTTGTAGAAAAAAAGTATTATATTCGAATCGTGTTATGGATCATGGTTTACGGCTAAATATATTATTTAAAATATTCCTCTATCAAGTATTTAAGTCGCAGGTTAAACCTGTTTGCAATAGCTTTCTACTACCCTCGATTTTTCTAATGTAAGCAGTTAACTGAAAGCTTTATTTAGTAACTAACTTTATATTTTTTTATAACACAACGATTTATTGGAACTTACAATAGTCTTATCAAAGGCGAATATTGATATGATTCAACAAATACAGGTGCGCTTTTAATCTACATTCAGTCCTTATCGCCTGACTTGTACGATGAATCCATTTTTTATTTTTCAATTTGAATTTTTATGATTTTGTTGAATAACTAGAACGAAATCTAATTGAGCTTTGCGAGTTTTTTGTCTTTGCAATTTGATGGTAATTACCGCCAATTCGTTTGCTTTTGTAGTTCCATTTAATGTTAATCGCCGGCACTTGACAGCGGCGACAGCAAAACAAGTTATGGCAAGGAACTATGAATGATGATCGAAAACTATACCCTCAACAAGCCGCAGAAAAAATACTTGGGAATTATAAGGTTTCGAAATGTATTACTTTTCACTTGATAAAATATCAACCCCCACAATATTTTTTTAGGTTTTGTTTCCGAGCTACACTCCATCGAAATATATTAGCAAGTTGAACGGAAATGAAATATATTGGAAAATCGCAGAGGTGTTTTAGAACATATTCTAGAATTGCTAATCTATACGGTTAAATGGTCCGACTAAATATTAGGGAAGTTTAAGGACACGCTGAATTCCTTGAAGTTGATATACCCCGCTTACAAGACTAGGGTATCGACGACTTCTATTTTCCAACGCGATCACAACCGATTTCAGTAAGCAAGTGCACCTGTAGCTCTCAAAATGCTTAATCCCGAACTAATTTCCCTGGAGAATCAGGTGTTTCGATGCTACCTGGGATGGTCGGCTGTATTGGTGCTCAAGATCTTCGCCACGGGCATTTATACTGGGCTGATGCGTTTCTTTACGGCCGTAAGTAATATTTTGTCAACTTTTGGGCCAATACTGCCTTAGCTACATTATATCTACATGGAAAAGGGGTTCAAATTCGTGTTTCTACAGATACACAAGTCATACACCAGCGGTCAGTTAAAGGCAATGGGGAATCTAAAAAATATTTGCTTATGAAAAGGTTTTAAACTAAAATATTTCCTATGCAGTTATTTTAACAAAACCAGGTGATATAAGCAGATTAAGTAAAATCCCTTTATATAAAATTACTACTATAAATTACTATCGCATTTCAAACCTTAATGTATCATTCAAACATAACAGTGCTACTATTATGACCGCTGCTGTGTTTTCGAACTCGACATTCGCCGTCTCAGTATGACTAGGCACTTTATCAATTAGACGAAGCGAGAGGGAAAATCAGCAAAAGCTTTTCTGTTTGCCGGTATAAAAAAAGAGAGCGAGTGCGAAATGGTGCTCACTTGATTTTTTAGCGGCGTGCAAGCAAGCTGCAGAATCGGTTAATCAAATTTTAACAAAGCCAAAAACAGGAGATAACACAAAATGGCCAGCCCCGTGGAACTGCTCAGCCTCTCGAACCCCGTCTTCAAGAGTTTCACCTTTTGGGTCGGCGTTTTGGTGATCAAAATGCTGCTCATGAGCCTGTTGACCGCCGTCCAGCGATTCAAGACGAAGGTGAGGGGGTGGGTTCGCACAGTGGGGTCAAAGTCTCGCGCCAGTGAAAGTTTAAGTGGACCCGACTAAACAGATTAACCAATTTATTTATATTACACTAAAGTTAATATTAAAAATTTAAATTAAATTATTTATATTACAAGGTTTGGGATGTCGACCCCTAGGTATTATCTAGGTATCTTTAAAGTGTCACACCAAAAAACAACTTGAGAATTATAAGCCCAATATGTTAATATTGTTTTAATACTCAGACAGTGAGGTTAATGTTCCGCGACAGTGAAACTAAAAGTAGCTTAAGCTAATTAACAAAATTCTTATAAATCCCAGTGACCTAACCAAACAGTAAACTTGGTAAATAACAACATAATAACATTGTTTAATTCTTATCACTTACCTGTAAAATCAGTCATTAGGATCAAAGTAAGATTTAAAGCTATTAATGTACATATTAATGTACATTTAATTTTGAAAACATATAGTTACACTTGCTTTTAAACACGTATTAATGCCTTTGGTTGAACTGATATGATACAGCTTGTTCAGATAAGACTGATTCGACTTTTTAATGAGCATACACACATGCATGGACTTCGACATTGGGAAGTTCAAATCTGTCCAATGTAACAATAAGACTTCAGCTTTTGGTACCATTGCTCATCTGCGTCTGGAGATCGAAGGATATTTAAGATGAAGAATACTAATTTTCCATTCGTTTTCAGACCTTCGCCAACCCCGAGGACCTGATGTCGCCCAAGCTGAAGGTCAAGTTCGACGATCCGAATGTGGAGCGTGTGCGTCGTGCCCACCGCAACGACTTGGAGAACATTCTGCCCTTCTTCGCCATCGGCCTGCTCTACGTCCTGACCAACCCGGCCGCCTTCCTGGCCATCAATCTGTTCCGGGCCGTGGGCATCTCCCGCATCGTCCACACGCTGGTCTACGCCGTGGTCGTGGTGCCCCAACCGTCCCGCGCCCTCGCCTTCTTCGTGGCCCTTGGCGCCACCGTCTACATGGCCCTGCAGGTCATCCTCTCGGCCGCCTTCTAGGCACATAGTTCTAGTCCTTCATGTTTTTTTCCAAACCCATTTTTGAAATAATTTCTTAAATATTAAAATACATCGACCTTCGGTGCTGTTGGAGGATCACAGCCTGTGAGTGTTTTCGTTTTGGGGACACACCAAAGAAGGTTCTCAGTGCAGTCTATTGAAAGTGGGAAAGGGAATCTTGTTATTATTGGTAAAACTAAACTAAAGAGTTAAAATGCCACATTGTAAATATATAAATCTATATTTTATATAATACATTTACAAAATTGAAAATTAATTGTTAGACTAGAGGTGAACTTAAAACTATAAATTTCCATTCATTTCATAGGCTTACAACCTACTTTTAGTTTAAGATGCGGAGGTCCTAAATGTTTTCTATCTTTGTTCAACTTTTCGGGCTATACGTAAGGCAAAAACGATAGTGGTTAAGTCAGGTTTGATTGAATGTGTTGCTCAATAAATCACAGACTGGTCGCAGTTTTATGTTCACTGGCAGTTTAGAAAAGCTTTACTAGGCTGCCTAGCAAACTAGTACAGTTTTGAATTATTTAATAGCTTTACAGTTTTTGAGACATAGACCATTTTATTTTCAAAGTTGTAAAGTTAAGGTACATAGTTTCCTTCTAAACATTAAGGTAAATTAAAAAAAAAATGGCTTACATTATTTCCGTTTTTATTGTATTAATATTACTGTGCAGTAAATAAGTTGTTATAGTGTAAAAAGCGTTTTACGCTGCGTGAGATTATTCCATATTCCTTTTATTTTCAGTACAATTAATCACAGCTCAAGCCACGCCGTGTGAGTGAGACCGAAAACTGGTTATCGCTGGGGTCATCTCGTTCTCGCATTTACCATGGAACGCAAAACGATGAATGAAAAAATTCAAATATATTAATATGACTACAAGATATGTTTGAGTGTATATTTACGAAAATTGGAATGTTTTTTATTTATTTAAGGGCTGCTCAATTACCTTTTCTTCAACTTTTCAAGAATACAGCCTAAACATTTAAAGACCGTATTTACGAACATACGATTTTTTAAGGGGACGTGCCTACAGGCATGTTCAAATGGGTTAAAAACTTAAAAATCGTTTTTTTCAAGACAGATGCTTAAGAAGGGCTGTACTTATGCGATCGGCCTTTTTCATTTTACAAAATTGACTCTGTCCTAAAACGACGAGTCAACTTTTAATACAAGTAACATTAAAACAAATGATTTTATAACGGGCGAGTGTGATAAAGAATCCATATTTATACGTAACAAATAATCTTGTATTACCTGCAATTATTAGAAAATATAAAAAAGGAAACCTAAAAACAAATGTTTTTTGTTGAAATTTTTAGGTGTCCAGAGGGGGTCCCTTCACTTGGGTTGTGGGGGCGATGGCGCCCACTGTGCTCTGCCGCTGCCTCTGGCGGCGCCGCAGTCGACCGTTAGCCGCAAATTGTTTGCGTTGGTTGTACTTTTTGTTGGCTTTTGTCAATTGCCTTCGTTGGCAGCATCGCAGCGGTCGCCCTTCGCAGTTCTTGCTAGTTAGTTGCTCCTTAATCGATCACTAAATCCGCCCTAGTAAGTAAAACTAAAGCTAAGAACTGGCAAAGGTTCAAAATCCTAAGTCCTTTCCTGCAAAGTTCCATGACATAGTGCCTTCTCGTTCGCACCCTACGCACTTAACCAAAAAAAAGTTCCAACCGGCAAAATACAGATACAAAATAGAGAGCAGAGAAAAACATGTGCTTTTTTTTACATGTTTCTTACATACATATCGTTCGTTGTTTTTTGTATTTGTTTTTCTATTTTGGAGCCGCGTGCTTTTGAAAAACAAATATATAAATATACATACATATGTACATATATTTACATATGGGGCCTTGTGTGAGTGTGTGTAAAAAGGGGGAGATAAACAAGAAAGAGCAATAAAAAACTCCTGAGCGAACAAGAATGAAGAAGAAGAAAGTGTGCACTGAAAAAATTTAGAAACAACTTACCTTAAACATTTTTAAATTTGACATCGAAAAAATCTAAAAATTTTAAATTCAATAATTTAAGCTTTTAAAAAAAATTTAAAAAATATATTTTTACACAGATTTTTAGCTTTGCGGGGTTTGACTAAAATCTGAAGTTCAAGAAATATCATAATTTGTATCTGAGTTTATTGTACTTGCACAAGAACAACAGATTCCGACCTACCCTAGTCTAGTCCTAAACTCAGATATACCCCACAGAACGAGGCCCCAGATACTAGTGCTCTTCATATAATATACGAAAACACTGTCCCTTATTTGAGTTTGCTTTGTAGATGATAGACTTCGAGTGGCGTATCGTATAGAGTGCAATCAATCAGTGCCACCTGGAAACCTTATCTACAATATACGACCCAACTTGAACGGCAGCTACTATTTATTTACCAACTTATAAGGGGTTTCGAACTGAAACCATTAGGATAAACAATGAGATCAATGAACGGGTAAATCTAAAGTTAGACAGAAAAACAAGGAAAACCTTATAGGCATTGAAGTTTCCGCAGAACCATGCTAGTTTCCGCATTTTGCTGAATTCAATAGTAAACTTTCCCCACTTGACTCGACGAGGAAAACCTTGAGACTTAAAGTCGTAAAAAAGGCACGTCATTGCCCTTTGAATAAGTATTGCTGAAAAGTCTGAAAAGAACCAGAGATATATTTCGAAATAAGTACATACATATGTATATCACTGTGCAAATTTAAAGAGTTGATAGGCGTTCCTTCCTGTTTTCTAATGGCTCTTCTTTTTATCAATTTTTTGTCGTGTCATCGTTTTTCAGGCCCGACCTTTTCGCTTTCGATTGAATAATAATAATCTCGTGCAATTTCGCAATCTCAGTCGCAATGAGACAACAAGAAATTTATTTTGGTTCAGATTTCTTTCGTATTTCCCTACGTATCCCCACCGGACTTTGGAGGTGATAAGGTCTAGGATCATCAAAGGTCCGACCACACCATCTGGCGTTTGAAATCAAAAAACGTTGAAATCTTTAGCAGCATACTTATTGAAGTGATAACCAAGTCCGTACCATCAGTTATTATTATTTTTGATTTTTGTAACAAAATGTAATAGCTTAAAATATCATACCTTAGATTATTGATTTCCTATGTTCTTGTCGCCCATACCAAATTAGGAACTCCTAAGTTATACTTAGTTATACTCAGAAAGTTGTATCCTTGGAAGGCAGGTATCCTACCTACAGCATTAGGTACATATCTTGACTATACTACCAAATGTTATAATCCATACTTTCCAAATTGCTTTCACCCTTACAGAGATGCCACAACCAAAGCCGTACGAAAGGCCCGCGGACTTCATCGATCCCGGAAAGCCGTCCAAGTGCAAATGGCATCTGGGGACCACGGAAAAATCGCCCCACACCCAACGGGGCATCGCACATCGTCAACAGATCACGCCGAACATTCTCGAGGTGATCGGATGCACTCCACTGGTCAAATTAAATCATATCCCCGCCAGCGAGGGAATCGAGTGCGAGATGTGTAAGTCCCAAATGGGATATAAGCCTACTTTCCCACTTAGTTAATATATAGATGATTGCGCTTACATTGCTTATCAAATATCAAAAAATCTTATGGTATGGTATATGTATTTTATAACGAACAAAAACAGATTAATTACAACAAGCAATAATATAAAATATCTTTAGGGTCTCCAAATATTTCGTGAACTTGATTTCTTTAATAATATCCTCTTGGGATGCATTAAAGTTGAAAATTATATATTGTAAGGATCAACCTGATTAACATTTTGAAATTTTCGTAGATGCCAAATGCGAGTTCCTTAATCCTGGAGGATCGGTGAAGGACCGCATCGGCTATCGCATGGTGCAGGATGCCGAGGAGCAGGGTCTCCTGAAGCCAGGATTCACCATCATCGAACCGACGTCGGGCAACACGGGCATCGGCCTGGCGATGGCCTGTGCGGTCAAGGGGTACAAATGCATCATCGTGATGCCCGAGAAGATGTCCAACGAGAAGGTATCGGCGCTGCGAACCCTGGGGGCCAAGATCATACGGACGCCCACGGAGGCCGCCTACGACTCGCCGGAGGGACTGATCTACGTGGCCCAGCAACTGCAGCGGGAAACGCCCAACTCGATTGTCCTGGATCAGTATCGGAACGCTGGCAATCCGCTGGCCCACTACGATGGCACTGCCGCCGAAATACTGTGGCAGCTGGACAACAAGGTGGACATGATAGTGGTCTCCGCGGGAACGGCGGGCACCATCAGCGGCATTGGCCGGAAAATCAAGGAGCAGGCTCCCAACTGCCAGATTGTCGGCGTGGATCCCTACGGCTCGATCCTCGCGCGTCCCGCGGAGCTCAACAAGACCGATGTGCAATTCTACGAGGTGGAGGGCATTGGCTATGACTTCCCGCCCACCGTTTTTGACGATGCCGTGGTGGATGTGTGGACGAAGATCGGCGATCCCGATTGCTTCCCCATGAGCCGGCGCCTAAACGCGGAGGAGGGTCTGCTATGCGGCGGCTCCAGCGGCGGAGCGATGCACGCTGCCCTCCAGCATGCTCGCAAGTTGAAGAAGGGCCAGCGCTGCGTGGTCATCCTGCCCGATGGCATACGCAACTACATGACCAAGTTCGTCTCGGACAACTGGATGGAGGCGCGTGGCTTCAAGGAGCCGGTGAACGAGCACGGTCACTGGTGGTGGAACCTGTCAATCGAGCAGCTCCAGCTCCCCTCCCCTTCGGCCACTCTGAAGTCGAGTGCAACGGTTGGCGAGGCCATTGCCCTGATGAAGAAACATCGCGTGGACCAGCTGCCCGTTGTGGATCAGGATGATGGGTAGGCCCACCGAATTTCTGCCTCTGCAGGGTTTATAACTCTTGTTGTTTTCTATCGCTTCTATCTCACTTAGGTCCATTCTGGGCGTGGTGGGTCAGGAGACGCTCATCACCCAGATCGTGAGCATGAACCGCCAGCAGTCCGATCCCGCCATCAAGGCCCTTAACAAGCGAGTGATCCGATTGAACGAATCCGAGACCCTTGGCAAGCTAGCCCGCGTCCTCGAGGTGGATCCCAGTGTGCTCATCCTGGGAAAGAGCTCGGCCGGCAAGGAGGAGCTGAGGGCAGTGGCCAGCAAGCTGGACGTGACCACCTTTATTGCTGCAGGCCAGCAGAATCCCAAGGCCAATGGCACCACCAACGGCAGTAGCCACTAAAATAGAGATCCGTGTCCCACAGATTCGGCCACCTACCGATTATATCTACGCGCTTTTAACTTATACCCGCAAGCATTTCGTTTTATGTCCAATAAAGCATTTTACTATACACGAATCCTTTAGGTTTCTTTTGTAGAAAGCACATCCGAACTAATTCCGAAACTTGTATCCTTCAATCTTTACGTGCCTTTAGCTCTAAAAATATATGTGTTTCCTAAAATACCAGCCATCGTTAGATTTTCACCAAGGACACTTTAATGTTGTTAATGAAACAGGCATTATTTTTTATCTGATTGATGAAATTTTCATGGTAATACAACTTTGTTATCCACAAAAACTTAATTTTCTCGTCAACATTTTATCATTGGCCTATTGGTGACTTATGGAACTGCCCGGTTACTTTCAGTGTTACGCATGTATATGGCTACTTATAATGTTCTATTCCATTAATCAATATTATTCAGTTCAAGCTTATTACTTGTTTGTGGAGTAAATTAATTAGTAGTAGTAGTCCCAAATACATTTTTCATATTATTGTGCAGAAAGAAAAAGACCAACCTACAATAAATGAGACTTTCGAAATAGTTCTGATACGTTTTCACATATATATATATATTTCGTTCGATTCGCTTACATGCTGTTTTCTTGTTTAAGGAGCTACACGCATCTGGTTTACTTAAGACATTTGTAAAATATAAAAAAAATACATGGTTTTTTGGGGTTTGGTGCAACTAAATGCACGAGGGGTAAAGCAGGAGAAAGCAGCAAATAATACTCGTTGAGCGATAGAGAGATTACCAAATATTTGAGATAGAAAGAGACAGCTAATATACAGAACACAGAATAGAGCGGAATGATGGCGACCTCTGGCTTAGATTAGACCCCGCGATTCGGCAGATCCTTGACCTTGTAGATGCGGACTAGCCAGTGCTCCGTGGTATAGGCCTCCTCCAAGACATCCAGCTCGAAATCCTTGTTGCCGATTTCGGCCGCCCGAACTCGATCGTAACCCTGGGCCTTGCCCCCTTCGGTGTACATTTGCCCGAAGCGATAGTAGCACATTTTGTACATCAAACAGTTGAGCAATGTGGGTGAACCCTCCTTGTCCACTCGGAACTCGCCATTGGCGGCATAGTAGTCCTTTTCACGGATGTGCGCCCCACGATCCGTGCTGCCGCCAATGCGCACCATCCACAGGAACTTGTTGATATCGTCCGAGGAGTAGCCAGTCAGTCCTCCGAAAATCACTAGAACATAATCCACATCCAGTTCGCGCATTATCTCGTAGGCTTTTTCCTCCGACGAAGCCATCGCTTGGCCAACGCGCGATATGTGCGTGTTGTTCCAAGTATTGTTGTCCACCAATATCGTGCGATTGGCCATGGCCGTTATCTGGTAGCCATAATCCCACCAGGACATTATGCGAGCATCCTGGTAAATACATTTAAAAAAAAGTTTAGTTTTGGCTACTCAACGGGAACGGGCAAAAGGAATAGGTTTTTATGGTTTTGTCAGCTTGGTTGTTTTAGTACTCATTGTGTATCATACTCTTCCTATCAAGAATTTACAATGTAGTCATCATGAGAAGGTGAAAATCTCGAAATGCCCACGCAGCCAGTTGTCTAAAGTGACTTAAAAATAGCTACTTCGCATGGCTAGGCAGGCAAAACATTCGATAAAAGAACCATCTATGCTGGTAACTCACCTCTGGGGTGTTCATCTGCAGCCAGTAATAGGCCTCGCGGAAATCATCGAAGATGATGCGGCCTCCATCGTGCGACCTGGCACTCAGCACAATGCTGGGCGAAGAGTACGCCTCCGAGGTGACCCAGGTGCAGTGCAGCGTGTACACGATCAGCATCAGTGTGATGACTCCCACAAACCCAATGGCCACCTCGCTCTTCACGCCGCCCGTCTGCTGCTCCAGCTTCTTGTGCTGACGCTTGCTCTCCACTCCCTGTTTCCCCGATCCACCCGCATCCACGCTCTTGATATACTTGGCCAGCAAATGCGAAATGGCGATGCCGGACAGCACACACATCACGGGCGCCAGGACCAGCATCAGTCGCACCATCACACCGGCGAAGTAAATGCTGGTAACTCCGTACAAAATAATGAAGATATTTGAGTCCGTCAGCTTGGAGAAGCAGAAATACAGGCCAGCTGGAAATAGGAACACCAGGATCTGCAAGGGAATTCCAAAAAATCAATAAATGAGTTCTAGAGGGAAAAGATCACGATTAAAGGAGTTACACTGCCTCAGCGATCAAAGTGCAAGGTAATCATTTGAATGCATTAAGGCGCAACTCATTCGCATCGTGGTTAAGTTTTCATCTTTGGCAGATAAATCTTTCCCGTCAGTTTAAGCTAAATTATTGTAATCTTTTCCTGACTTAAATTCATATAAACATGTTTTTTTACAATCTAAAAAGTGGGAATGCCTTTTAGTAATTTAAGGTTTCTCTTACAAAACTAACTTTTCTCCAGACGCAACCCACCTGCAGATCGAAATAGAAGGACGACCAGGATGTCGGCTGGTGCTCTGAGACCGAGGCAATGATCGGAATGTGGTTCTTGGCATAGGACGGATCGAGTAGCGAGTAAAATCTGCCCGTCCAGGGTGAGACTTTCCCAGTGAGTGTGAGCAGGATGCCCACGACGAACACCACAGTCAGCACACTGGAAACCAAGGTCTTGAAGAGCAGGTCGAAGTGATCCTTGGGAATGCGAGAGCGCAGATAGTCCACAAAGGCGTGAATCTGGCACAGGCCAAAGGTTCCCAGTGCCTGCAAGAAAGAAAATCGATTAACCATGAGATTTTTAATATTGATCAATAAATCGTGAATTTATATTGATTCCTATTGGTGATCAAGTCAGCTTGGGTTTTTCGTACTCATTATGTTTCATACTCTTCCTATCAAGAATATATTAGGTATTCATCACAACAGATCACTCTTCGCTTAGATTACAGGTATTAAACAGCATTAGGTCCTTACCAGCATATGCTCGGAACTCTGGATAGGTTGGAATCCCACGAACGAAATCTGCATTGATAGAATAGTGCCCACGCAGTAGAGCGTGCTGTACGCTATGTAGATCCTGTGCGAGAAACGTCCGGTGATCATCAGCGCCAGCACGTGCAGCGGGATTAGATTGATCAGGAAGACATAGCCACCCCAGGAGGAGACCATATAGAAGTAGGCCAAAGCCGACATGGCCGACCAGAAGATCGTGCCTGTCTTTACAGCCTTGATCCACAAATAGTAGGTGAAGAGCATGCAGAAGATGGCGATGCCCTCATTATCGTACGATCCCGCCACAGATCGGGAGATATATCCCGGAACGATGGAGATCAAGGCGGCGGCCACCAGACCAGCACCAGTACTCTAAAAAGAATAGGGGAATCATTAGGACCACGTGTAGGACATAACCTTGAAATGGGTAAGCTAGTTATCAGATAAGATACACATATAATTTGACTGCCAATAATAGCTCATGATGCAGTAAATAGGAAGAATTTAGGTTCATGATTAGTTAGGATCTGGATAAATGGTCTTTTACAGTGTTTCTTATGAGTTGTACATAAATAAATACAATTTTTGAAATTCATAGGTACACACTGGATATGATAAGTAAGTTCGGAAGTAGTTAAGATCTGCAATCTTGATAACGTTTGGATGTTCTGAAGGCAATACAGATTTAAATGGAACGGTCTTCAGTTCGGAATCGGAACTTATCCATTTGTAGTTAGTTGAAATTCATTGATCTAAACACAGATCTGCATGGAGTATGGCATATTAAAGTGAATAAAAAGTTGTTCAATAGTTAGGATCTGGGATCATTTTTAATGCCAAAGTAGGGTGTGCGGGTGTTTGGGGTCTGGGATCCAAGATCTTTGTAGGGACGGAGACTTACGTGGATCTCCTTCGTGAGGGCGTAGGTCACCAGCGTGGTCAGCGAGGAGAAGAAGGGCGCCAGGAAGACGCACACGTTCCGGATGTCGATGGTCACGTTCAGCAGCCACATCAGGCGGTACAGGGCCGCCGAGGTGAGCATCAGGCCCGGGTAAATGGTGCCGCCGATGATGCGTCCCAGGGGATACCAGGCGCGGTCATCGAACCAGTTGTGGAACTTGTAGAAGCCCTGCTCGGCGAGGAACCGCGTGGTGCGGTAGTTGAAGTACGGGTCGAACTCATGGATCACGCTCTCGAATCGCAGCACGGAAAACAGGCGCGTGGCGAACGCTGTGCAATGGAAATCGGAAAGGGAAGTTCAGGTCGGCGTTGGCAAGAGGAAGACGCGCGGCAGTGGTGGCACTTGGGCATTTATTGAGCTATCGATATTATCAAAGTGCTGGAGCAACATTTTTTCGTTTTTTTCACTAATAAATAGGGAATATTTTAGGCTAGATGTTAGATTAAAAAATTGTTTTGCCTATTACCCGGTTAATTTCACTTCCAAAAACTTTAATAAAAATTAAATAAATGTTCCACCGCTAGATATCTTCGCTGGAACGGGCCACCCCTAGGCGATACCGACCGCCGCCGATAACCGATAGCAATCGATAGCGAGGAAGCTCGAACCAGATGCGAATGTTTTTTTTTAAGCTCGCCCACTCGCATATTGCCAAAAACAGAAGATATACTCACATAGAACCGCTGCCAGGATGAGAATGGCCAGTTTGACCAGGTGCTCCTGCTTTTCCCAGGTGAGCAGTCCCCGGGCGACGCCGCCCACATCCAGCGTCATTTTCGCCTGCCGGCGTTTTTCGGCGATGTTTATTTCGCTTATCAAGCCGTTAAATCAACGGTACGCGTCGTTCACTTTGCTCCTTGTGTCCAGGATTACGTGTGCCGCACCACGAATCGCACTATTACCAAGGTTTTTGCACAAAACAATGGCTGGGAACTTGAAGGCGACGGAATCGCAAACTTGCAATTCGTGGCAAAGAGCGAAGAGTGCTATCGGTTATCGCGTGCGGTGGTCTGGCTATCGGCTGCGGGGTGGCAACCCTGGCGGCTGGGCGCGTTTTTATTATTTCCATTTTTCGTCGGTTCTTTGCGGTTTCTTGGGCAGTTAGTTCTTGATTTATGATTATTTACCATTGGTGAGTCACCTAAAAGCAGAGCTGACACTTAAATCGCCAATTCATAACCGGCTGTTCCTGCGCTCATTCCCAGCTGTTTTGGGCTCTCTTCGGCAGAGCGGGAGAGCGAGAGAGCACTCGGTGCGCTCTCACAGCCGTTTACATTTCATTTATTTCCCATATAAAAGCACCGCTGCTTCGTGTTTTCGTTGCGTTTTACAAAAATCTCGAAGAAAATATGACAAAAAAACATCGGACAAATCGCCGGGTAGAAAAATCACGGTTTCCAGTGAAAAACTACTGATATTCTGTCAGATTTACGCGATATATGTATATATTCATTCTAAACGGGAGTGAAATCGCCGAAAAAACCAAAAAACGAAAAACGCCAAGCGGAGTAAATACAAGATGACTTCTGCTGGTAAATACATAGAAGAAAAGAGAAGGTTTTACCTGAAACCACAATAAGAAAAGCATTAACTCACGTGTTAAATGTTAAACAGCAAATTGTTCTCATCAATGCACGGGCGCCCCCAATCTGTGTGTGTGTGATTTGCCAGTTCAAACCGTTATTTTTTTTGGAGTGGCAGCTTTGTTATGTGCAATGTACATACATATGTATATATACTTGCGGCGTTGTTGTTGCTCGCCTTTTTTTTTAATTGAAGTCGCGCCAAAAGTAATTAAATAATAACCGTTTGTTTGTGTGTAAAGTTCAGTGAGAATGGTGAAAAATCGAACATCAACACGCTTTTAAAAATGCATGTGTTATGTATATGTATATACGTATGTGTCGGGGCGTGTGTAAGTGTGTGCGTGCGGGTGGTGGCAGCGACGCCGGCAGAGGCAGCGATTGCAGTTGCCAGCACGCATCAAAGAAGAGGAAGAAGTTATAGATTGTGTGGAGGGGGGATGGGGGAAGGGAAGAAAAGGAAAACAAAAGCAACAAACTCCAACTTCTGCCCCCCACACACATGCCGCCCACCCCCTTTCCACATATGTGTGTGTGGGTGTTTGCATTTGCATGGCATTTCTGGCATGCAACTCTCTCTCTGTGTGTGTGCGTGTGTATTTATGGAAGTTTGTGGGCCTGGGCGAGCGAGAGAGAGGCAAGATCGGGGAGCTATTATTTATTATTGTCCAAGTTCCCAAAAAAAGTCGAACGTTTAATTTAGGAAAAATATTTTACATGGTTTTTCATAGATCTAACATTCAAATTTCTAAATTTAAAGGAAAACAAAATAAAACAATTGGATCTTAAATAGTAATTAATGATTGAACATGGATATATTTAGGTTTCCAAAAGGATAAATCAATTCGTTTCGGGAAAAACAGCATCCATGATTTTTGATTCTTATAAAATTTTTCTGAAATAATACGACTTACAAATCGTAACTAAAAATGTGATAAGAGCACTGCGCATTGGATATTTTAGTCTATGGAAAAAGTAGAACATTTTTAATTTATAATTATAGTATTAAATATAATGGGATAGTAACTATGTACAGTAATAAGAAAAAAAAATGAAAAATGAGTTTTTCAAAATCCAACTTCAAAATCTTTTCAAAAATTCCAAAAAAATATTGGGATAAACCACTCTGTGAGATTATTTCTATAAATAAGTTCAAAAATAACTGCTAGATCAACTAAATATTTACTCTGCCAAGCCGCAAAAGTAAGAGGAAATATTTATACAAAAGATTTGCAGTAAGAAATCTAAACAAATCGTTGGGTTAGCCATTATTTTCAGACACTATCTTATCCATAAAGTTGGATAACTGCCAGCTACTTCATATCGCATCTTCAAAAGTATACAGATAAGATAAGTGACCTTATGTGCTAAAAACAAAGCAAAAACTATTGAATATTAGCTCAATGGAAATGTTCCCTTATCAGTTCTCTCCCCTAGATGAAAGTAGTACCTCAAAAGTCGATAATTGTTCTTTCATAATTAAAAGTTTCCTATCAATAAGCTTGGTGGCGTAGCCGAAAATTGACTGCAGACCATTAGTAAGGTAATCCATCAATTTTCTGTGTATACTTATGCCGACCATTTCCTAACCCATTTACATAGCCAATGAGTGATTAAGTGATTTTTTTTGTATTTCTGCTTTCGCTCGAAAATAATTTACAACAATTTTGCCTTTGTTTTGCCCGTTTTCGACCGTAAAAACGATGTAAAATTTAATATGGCATAGAGGGCGAGAGACAACGTTGCTGTCTCGTTATTGTTATTATTATTTTTGTTTACACGTGGGAAACGGAAATTGGCGAGAGAAAAAAGTTGCCGCCGTTTCACTTTCGTCTCTCCATTCCCCACTTGCCCCATCAAAAGTTGTTAAAAAATTACAAATACCAGAGGGAAACAGTCGAGGACCCCTTAAGAAACGCTGCCAGCGTTGTGTTTTTTACACAATTAATTTCATGTAATTAAACCTTTGCGACGCTTACGACTTTAATGTCTGATCTCTTCTGTTTTCCCTCTTTTTGTTGTTTCATTTCTATTTTCCCCTCTATTTTATCAAAGGTTCCATTTCCAATTGTTGCCATACACGTTCCGCTTTCAATTGGATTACGACCATAATTTGTCTGCGGGCCAAATACCAATTAGAATCGGCCAAGAAATTAAACTCTGCGGGCCGCCCTTCAGTGTGATATTTTTAAAGCCTTTTTGAAGGATTACAAGGGTTTTAAAAAAAAAATTGTTTTATTTTAAATTGCCTAAGCTAGTTAAAGTTGTTTTGTGTATACAAATTGGGAGATAGTCTTTGAAAGATATGTATTTTCATGTGTATATATTCATATTAGTCTTTCTTTCGGAAAATCTTCTAAATGTACCAAATTATGTAAGACTTATATATAATTCGAAATCGAAAAAAACACGACACTGTGCTTGTTTCTGGGCCAAAAACCCTGTGTAACCCCATAGAAAGTACAATATCCAATACAACTTATTTCTTTTGTAAAAATCGTATATGTTCAGTTCATTTTATGGATACAAACATGCATATCTATAGGAAATGACTGGTAAATTTATATTAAACTTTATACTAACTAAAGATCGCCACTTTCTCCACTATGATTCGAACGTTCAAAGGGAAGGAAAAACGAATACGAACCGCTTAAGTGTAATGGCTATATGCGATATCTCATTAGATGCCCCCCACGACTATTTTACGATGATTGCGACTGAGCAAACACCAATTGCTGGACACAGGCAATCGATGACTTCGATACGAAATTACCACGAAAAAAAACAGAAGGGGAAAAGATGGGGAAACCAAGGAGGACTCCATATCGCCCATTAACCCCCGCTTTTCCAATAGTGTCACTGGCCATTGACATGCCATTCAACCAAGCCCTTTCCACCCATTTTCACCCAGCGACTTTTCCCTTTCTTCTGGCAATTATCAGCCACAACTTATTGGCATTTTCGCAATAAAAGTTTCCCAGTCTGTTTTTCTACTTTACCAGTTTTCCCTTTGTTCTGTTTTACAGTGTGTTTTTTTTAATATTTTTTTTTATCAAAAGTGTTCACTGGCATCGTTAAAAGAAAAATATACTGCTTAGCTGGGCTAAATATACTCTCAGTTTAAAGTTCACCTAAAATTTCAGTGATCTGTTGTGTGTTTCAAGATATGGTTGATGTGGCTGATTAAGTGATCAGTTTTATAGGATTTTAAAAATGGAATTAATAGTAATTTAGTTGTCAAAACATGTTCTTATTTTTCTTATTTGTAGGTTTCCTTCGCATCATATTTTTATTTATTTTTTTAACCGAGTCTCTTCGCAATATTTATTTTTATTTTTCGCAGTTTTGGAGCTTGCTTCGTTCGCGCTGTACCCATTTTACTTTTGGTTATGGACTTTAATTTCTGGTCTTTTAAGCGAAGTCGCGCTTTGTTGTATTTGCATTTGTTGTTCTGTTTGTTTTTTGTTTTTCGTGTTTTTGTGTGTGTGTTTCATTTTCAAGGCAACAAAACGATGACTTCATCTTCTCTGCCCACATTTTTGTTGTTGCTGCACGTGTGTGTGCGTGCGTTGGTGTGGGTATACCCTTTATAGAGGGTATTTATAGTGTTTGAATACAGCCACGCTCGGGAGAAAGCATTTCCGACCCTTCGAACCAACCATTTAACCCATAAACGGCGGTGGTAAATACCAATTACAGAACTTAGAGAGGTTAAATACATTAATATTCAAGTCATTTTCCAAAAGCTATATTAGATGGTTTTTAGAAACGTATTTTCCATAATTAAACTCAATTAAAAAGATTATATATTTTGTTATAAGCCTGCGGAATTGTATGAACACCCGACAACCATTATTATGGTATGAAAAAAGATATTAAAACTAGTTTTAGAGGAAGACATATATTTTTTTTTGAGATGAGTTTACCAAACGTGACAGAGAACTTAACAGTCAGTCACCTGAACTAATTAAAATTGACTTTATAATTGTATCGCTTATCGTATGTATTTAAGCAATTATATTATATTACGACTTTACGGGACCATTAGAGTATTCCAACTCTTTTTTCACGCATTTTTGGGTTTCCAGGGTATTTGCTTGCTCGGAAATCAAGGTGAATTTCGATTGCTCGGTTTTGTTGCACACCCCCGAAGCGGAAGTGTTGGCCTTGTTTGTTTGTGTGGCTGATGTGTGTCACCTGCCACTATCATCAACATTATCATTATCAACCACACACCAAAGACACTGTTGCAGTGCGGCCAATATGCAAAGTGTTGAGTAATCGTCAACACAGTCGACATCACCAGTGCATCATGTTCATCATCATCATCATCATCATCAGACTGTCTGTCAACGGTTGGCTGACCGCTTTCAATAACTACACTGAGGGAAAATCCTAAAGATACATATATGTATATATTTTTTTAACTCTCAGTTGCAAGTGATATAGTTTACAATGCAGGTTCTGCGTTACAACACGTTCAAAACGTCTTAGAAAATAGTAAAAAATATAAGTTCATGGTCACAGTTTTTGGAAGATTGGATGGTCCACTGTAATGTGGACTTATAAAATATCATAAATATAAAATCAAACTGTAATTTAGGTTATTTTTTCTCAGTGCATTGGCGACCACGAACTTTGCGACATCAAATTGATTATTTTGATGCCCTTCTTTGTCGCTCTCTTATCCTCCCTTTCTCCCTTCTCCTTTCTCCAATATCTTTCCCATTCGCTGGCTTTGTTTTATTATTCATGTCCAGGCCGGAAATGTTTCGTTTTTCAGTCGCACTCACCAGACCAACCCCAACACTATAAAATATACAGGGACCTCAGACCAGAGACCATATAGACCATACCCTCACCCACTTTCGGCCACTTTCCCAGTTTTTTGTTGCCGTTCTCTATTGGGGTCAGCAAACAAAACTCGCAGCCGTTGTTTGCATTGTTCTAAATGTGTATATACTCTCTGGAGAGTTTTTGACCAAGTTTTGTTGGTCTGGTCGAGTCGGGAACAGGTTGTGCGGATCTCTATCGCCAAAAAACAAAAAGAAAACAGAAACTGCAGATAGTCTCTGGTTCTGTGAATTTCTGTGTATTTTCGTATGATTTATTTCGGAATACCGTGATTTTTGTGTGTAGATTCTTGTATGGTATATACTATTTAAGATATCCGTGAATTTATGCTGGCGTTGATCTGGAGATGCGAACAGAGGAGGTCAGTGAAGCACTAGATATTGTCTGGGGAGCAATAAATTTCCTATACACGAACAAGACATGTTGCGATTAGTCATCGTATTAATTATTTACACACTGCTTGCTTTAATCAGCTGACTAATTTGGCACATGTGCATCATTTCCAATCACTTGTATTGAATTCAACTGGTGGGAATGGATTGCATACGACGCATAGGATGTAATGAATGTGCATTTGATAGCCCACTTCCTACTTCCAAAGTTTACCTCATACATTATTCATTTGTTATTGAGATTGACAAGAAACGGCTGCTAGAGATAAAAAAATATTGAAGATAGTTTTGTTTAAATGAAATTATTTAGTGTTTTCACAAAGGTACTTGCTTACAAACGATTAATAATCAAAAACAATTAAATATTATTATTAAATATTTAAATGGGTTGGTGTAATTACTTCGATCTCTGAGAAAGGGAACATTCGCTAGCAGCTGAGGCAGTTCACAAAGGTTCTTAACTGTGTTGCAATATCGATTACTAATTAATTAATGAACTGACTTAGCTAATTGCAAACGATTGTATTGCTTTTCAATAAGGCATATAAAAGCCACGTTTATGTTTAGTAAACACTTTTCAGCCCCTTAGACTAGTTCAAAGTTTATAAGATTTGTCTTTAAAATGGGTTTTCCTTTAATTTTTTTCAGCAGCTGCCTAAACAATGCAACAATGTGACGGGCGGCAGCAGCAGCAGCAACTGTGCCAGGAGCAACATCAGCGGGAAATCCAGCGGCAGCTAGGGGAAAAAATAGTCCAAACATAATATTACAATAAGTAACGAATATTTAACCGACGGCACTGGCAACAGATCAGTGGGCAGCTAATAACAGTTTATAAACGATATTAATTAAAAGAATTTTTGAATTAATCTTGCATTGGCAAGGACAACAACCATTGGAAAACTGTCTAGTCGCGACACGAACCACAAAGCACAAACATTTCAAAAAGGGCAGCAGCAATATCCAAATCACCCACAAACATTAAGGCAACTTCAAGATTTATAAATTAAAAAAGGAAATCTCCAAACTTTTTTAGCAAAACACTGGAAAATAAGAGTTTTTGGCCTAAGCGGAGGCAAGAGCCCTGGGGCTTAGTCAGCGGATACACCAACCCATTGGGCTTCTGGCAATTGACGAGGTGGTGTTCCCAAGGAATAGCTCAAAGATCAGGCTGAGGAGAGCGACTGAGACTGAAACGAAGGTAGCGAACGGAGGAGCAGGACGAGCAGAACAAGCAGGATCATCAGGACCAGCGGAATGCCCAGCACGGCGGGCAGTGCAGCGGGCGTTGGGATGGGCGCTCTGATCAATAGTGCCGGCAGCAGCGCCAGCAGCGTCATGGGCATCGGTCTGGGCGGAGCAGCTGCACCAGGAGCTCCTGGCTCCGCCTCCGGATCTGGGGCAGAGGCCTCCGCTGGCACTTTGATAGCCCAGAGCACGGCGGGAACGAGCGCCGCCAGCAGCGGTACGATCACCTGGGACAACAACGGAACCCTGCGATCGATCAATCCCGGCGACTGGTCCATCGAACAGTGCCTCGGATGGCAGCAGCCACATCACCTGTACTTTCAGCTCGGCTGGGCCTTCCTCTTCCTGGCCTTCCTGGCCCCCCACGGCCCCTACGGCTCGCTGTGGATGCGGGCCATGCTGCTCATTGGCTGCCTGATGATGGGCATGCACGGCTATCTGGTGGCCTGCACGCCGGACGTGGTCCTATGGTCCGGCATGGGACTGTTTGTCAACTTCGTCTATCTCGTCGTGGTGCTGTGCCGCCTGAGACCCGTGAGATTCGAGCAGGAAATCGAGGCGGTAAGTCATACCCAGCTAGATCGTACAGACTATCTCTTTAAGCAACGAAAAATATATATCTTAGACCTTATAGAACTAAAAACACAAGTGTCTTAATGACTAAGATACATCTGTTTTAAATTGAACATTTTGAAAGGTTATTTTATAAAATAATGATTTCAAGATAGACCTACCAAATATTAATAAAGACTTGAGGTAACGCCATTAATTTAAATATTATTGTGAATATACAGATTTTGTTGAATTCAAACCCGTTTTTAAAGAACATAGAAAGTATAAGAGAACATTTTAAAGAAACCTTATAGTATTTTAAAGTATTTTTAGTATGCTTAGTATTTTATAACAAACCAGATCTCGTTAAAATAATTATAACAATAATTTTATTATAAAAGATATAATTATAATTAGATTCTATTAGAATTTATGTGGTGGATAAGGGATAATTCACTAGAAAAACGCCTTTCTAAAAGTCCAAAACTTTTTCAGAGAGCTCCAGATAAATTCAATCAGCCTAAAAGTAGACAACCCATTTAATACCAATACCACTCAGTGGAGGAAATTTGATTTCCTGACAACAAAATGAGCCATACTTTGCGTAAAATTGTCAATCGAATTAGGGAACCCCAAGAAAAACAATAATTTGAATTGTACACATTGACTTTGCTTGGATATTTTTATTGATTTAATTTATTTGTTTTTTTGTTTGGTTTTTGAATTTTTTGGTTTTTGTTTTTCTTTTTGTTGTTTTTTTTTTTTGTTTTAATATAAATTATATTCACTAAAACATCCGCACTTTAAACAGAGAAAAGCATAGTTTTCGATGGATTAATAAATAACAGAAGAAAATTAATGAATTTGCGTGCTCTCGCTCGAGAAAAAAAAAAACAGTATAATTAATTATCAGTAGGCTATTAATTAATAACTCCGTGTAAATTATTGGCTATCGACTATGGGCTAAATGTGCTGTGGTTTGTGTGTGGGGTTGTGGGTGGCTGGGTGCTTGGGGTGGTGTTGTGGGGGCGGGCTGAGTTTATCACAGGAAATCGGATTGAAAGGTCGCAGAAAACGAGGCGTCCTCGGGAGAAATTAAATATTTTTTAATGCGTGGGGCGGAGGAAGGGCATCCAAAGATCAATGGTTCAATAAGCAATATATAAATTTGAGACAATTATCGAACATTGAAATACAGAAGTTGATGTGTGATGCATAATATGTGGAGGGTGGGTTATCCTAATCTATAAATTCTTCTTCACTCCGAACCCTCTGCCTTAGCTGAGGCGTATTTTCGATGCCAGAAAATACAACTGCAGGCAGGTGGTCAGCATGACCGTCATGTTGCCAATGGCGATGGTCATGTGGATGCGCCGGAACCCCTTGTGGATGCGCTGGTAGTGCGGACAGTCGACGAGGTCGCCCTGGACGAGGCTGCCCACCTCCTGGCCACTGCCGATCGCGTCCTCGATCCTGTACTTCTCGTGCATCAGCTGCAGCATCGGTGGCACCAGATACAGGCGCACCACCACCTCGATGCCCGCCGCCAGGGCCAGCGATCCCATCTGGATGCCCGCCGATGTCGTCCAGCCGCTCAGGAAGTACTTGGCATACACCACCAGCATCGTCAGGCTGAGCATGGCGTTCAGGGCGAAGTAGCGCGGGAACAGGATCTGCTGGCACTGCCCGAAAACGTGGCGGGGCAGCGAGAAATACAGCGAGAGACCTGCAAGGATGTGGTAAAAATAAATCCCATTAACAAGCTGTATACCTTTGTCAAGAGGGTCTATTAAATGTAATTACGATTTTACGATGATCGACTGATGATTGACCGTTGAAGATCATTGATCGCTGAATTGAAATTGTGTTCTGGATGGTTGTGGATGGATGTTCCCTGAAGATCAGGATAGTCCTGCGATCTAAGGACACTTACCCGAGACAAATGTCATCCAGATCTGCGACCCAAAGTGGGTGGCAAAGGCCCCCAGAAACACCAAGGCCGCCAAAACGCCGCCCGTTGCCGTTCTCGTCGAGGTTGCTGTTGCAGATGCTGCTGTTTCTGTTGCGGTTTCTACTGTTGTCGTTGGGTCGATGAGGTCGCGTCCCACAGTCATCAGCACAAAGGCCAAAATGCAAACGGCTATCAAGTGTGCTGGTTGTGTTGTACGCGTCAGAATTCTGCAATTGAAAGGGAAGAGTTTTCGATAAGTAAATAGTGATCGTTGGTTAACTGCTATGGAGAAGAAAGTCAATGAAGAAACTATGGGGTTCAAGTCTTGAATTTTTTAAAAGTATTTATAAAAAAATTAATAATAATAATTAATATTAAATACCTAAGCTTTCGAAATATTTCTTGATTTACAGAAACACCGAAACATCATCATATAATAATGATTATCATAGCATCTAACGAATATTTTCGCTAAAGCATTTCGTTGTATTAGGAATGGAAAACTATGACCCATAAAATTATTTTAATGACCAAGAACTTGTGGGACTTCTAGTGACCTGTTTATAAATGACCTATATTTTTTCGCCGTGTGACTTAAGTGCTTTTATAACGGTCTGCGTCCTATCCTTCTAGTGAATTTATTAACGCGATAGAAACGCAATCGGCGATGGTGCAAAACCCAAAAAGATATAGCCGCCCGATCCGCGGGCACAGGGGGTATAGGTATATGAAAATGGGTATTACGTACCCACGTGGCCCTCATGTCTGATTAGATTTGATTTGCGGCGAACTTTTGCACTGATTGCGATCGTGCGAATTCGCCGCCCCTTTCTTCCCTCTCTCTCTGTCTTTCTATTTGTCTCTTTCTTTTCGTGTCTACGCATTTGTTGCGTCTCTCCCACCCTACCTCTTTCGTCTGTCATTTTTGCATATCCGTCTGTTACGTTTTTATGTCTTTTTTGCACACTTTTTCGTTTTTTTTGTGCGGCGAATAGAGCCAAAGTGGCGTACGTGCGAAAACGCATGCAACCGAATATTGTATATTTTCGCCGCGCCCCCACAACCCTCCTCTGACGCGTTGCTCTCGTGGAGACCAGAACTAAAAGCTAGAAATTGGCAGTCTCTAGGCGATATTCATAGCATAAGAGCGTGGATATTGCAATTTTGCACTTGCACTTGGGGCGAATTCGGGCGAATCAGCTGGCGAACAGCTGATAAAACGATAAAACGCGGCGAAGCCAGCTGATTTATGGACAAAAGAGAGAGAAGGGGTTCAGTTGCGCTCAAAAGATTAAGCCAAAGCATACATTTAAATTGTACCCAAATAAAAAAATGTTGAATGCAAAAATCAAATAACTGTTCCAAAAAAGTTTTTCTTTTTATAATTGAAAATATATAATTTTGAATAATTTAAAATTGTAGAATTTAATTATAAATCATTTATCATCATTAATCTTTCCTATGGCATTCTATGCCTTTGCGATTTTAATTATATTTTCATAAGACATTTCCTTCGTGTGCTAGTATTGCGACCTCGACTGTACGGCTGGGAAAGCTTTGCCAAATGACGTAGGACCCGAATGCACTTTGCTCTCCAGCAGGTGGTTGTGGATCGGTCGAGAGAGCGAGACGGCAAGAGCGGGTGATTCAAGGGGTCTTAGGGAACTCTATTGACTCGCCAATTGTCGTCACAGTGCCCCACTGATCGCAAGATAGCGACCGTACCCAGACACACCCCCTGCCCCGCCCGAGGGTTAACTCATCGCCTGACATTGAGTCAGCATTACGGTCAAGGCGCGAATATATCGTATTTTTAGACTCGCACACTTGTCGTCAGTAATACCTCCCAAGTGGGAAAAAATCCTAGTGAATCACCCCGAAAAAATTGGGCTTTACTTTATCTCAGTTTATGGGGTATTTGTAAAGGTTATCGGCGAAAAAACGCGATACTATTATAACTATTCAATTTTAATTCCTTGCGGTTCCACTGTACCGATTTGTATCGTGCAGGTCACGAGTTTGGCGTCTGCTGCCAGGCATTATCAATGGGGTGCTAACAATCCATTAAATGGGTTTTGTTGAATTTCGCTATGTGGCCAACAAATTGCAAAAACCAAGTCAAAAAACCTAGATTAAATGGGTAGTGTGTGGTTCCAATTAGGAACCGGTGACATATAAATTCTATAATTAAACCAATTAATTATTGATCATTAAATTCAAATAGAGGCGAAAACATATATCACCTTGAAAGCCTTTTAATAGAGCAATGACTGAAATTTCCTGGGTACGCTTTTTGCGTAACGGGATTGCGCCCTAGACAACAGCAGACGGTGGAAAAATTATACGAGTATATTTGCATTTTTAAATGTCAACACAGAAGCGTGATCAACATGATCCACAGCCGTGACAATGAACTGATAGGAGCTGATAGCGCCACCTGATGAATTTATGGCTTTTTAATAGAGGGGGGCGTGCATTATGTCGATCAACGACCGATAAGAATGGTATATAAGATCGGATTAAACTCTCTTTCGGTTTCTCTATTTTAAATATTTCAGTACATCAATGTTACTCGACTGGCTACTTTTCAGTTATTAGTAATGTGGGATTAAAAATACAAAATAGTCTCTGTTTACGGGGTGAGACAACCCAAAATTAATTGGTTTTTCGACTTTGTCGTTAAAAAAAATAATAAAATAGTTTGGCGTTTCCTGTAATTTTTCATTGGCATGTGCGGGTAGAAACAGCAGTAAATGGCATAAATTGGCTTGTTATTAGTGGTCATAATGATCGAAAAACTAACAATTACTAATTTGAGTATAGACTTTCATATGATTTTTTTTATCAAAGGTTAGAAGGCTATAATTTAAGCAACATTTTGTAAGATTGAGTATTAAGAAGGGTACTTTTGTTTTATAGGTCCAAGTAAAGGTTAGAGTACAAAAATATATATTATGAGTTCTGAATATAATAGATCTCAAAACACCAAGACAAATATTAATACATGGGATTTCAAAAATACCAAATAAATAATTGTCAATAGGTAAATATTTACATCAGAGAAGTTAGGGAAGTGCATATGAGTCAAGTGTGATGATAATGATGTTTCTGGGGGAGAGACTTACGTGTAAAGGCGACTGGCCTGCAGCTGGGCCACCAGGCAGGTGATTCGCTCGGACACCTGGCGCGTCATCTGGGTGCCAATGGCCAGGGCGTCGTCCATGGACGGCTCCATGGAACTCAGCTTTCGCTGCTGCTGAGCCTTCAAAGCGGCCGCAGTGGTGGCACTGGTGTCCAGCGACTCCTCCTCCTGCAGTTCCATCTCCTTAAGCATCTGCTGCTGCTGCTCCTGCTGCAGCTTGCGAAATCTTGGACAGAATCGCAGGAGTTCGCTTTTCGGCGTGGAGAAGGAGGTGGTGGTGGTGGTGGTGGTGCTGACTTTGGGATTGGGAGTGGCCTTCTCTGTCGCTGGCGGGGATTTCAGGAGGGTCTCGGTGACACCGCTGTCCTCGCTGTCGCTACCGGTGATCGAGGAGGAATCGCTCCCGCTGCTGCTGCTCAGCTCGAGCTCCTCCAGGAACTGCTGCTCCCTCTGGAGATCCTTCCTCTTCTGCTCCTTCTTCTCGCGCTTCTTCATCGTGTACTTGACACTCTTCACCGCCTTCGAGGGCATTCCACATGCCATATAGCGTTCGATCTGCTGCTCGTTGTTTTTCTCCACGATCCCTGAATTGTGGCACATCTTTGCATTGGTTTCTTTAGATCCCTTGTTTTAAGTTGGTAATCCTCTTTTCTTGTTCTGCGGTCTTCTTTTAATTTGGGTTTTTGGCACTCTTCTTTGTCTCGCTTCGCACAGCAAAAAAATTTCTTATTTTGGGGTTACTTAACTTTCTGTTACAATTGTATTTGGAATTTAGGGAATTTTCTACACCGCGCTTTTTGGGGTTACGTTGTGGTTGGGAATTTGATTTGAAACTGGGGTCTGGTTAATATCTGGGATGGTTATTTGGATTTGTTTTGGATTCCGGGGGGACCAAGTGCGACACGCGGCGCGCTGAGTGTGCGATTTTGAATGGGAAGTCGGGGCTGCCATTAGGTTTTATATATACCGCCAACAACGCCAGTTCTTGCGCCGACGTCGCTGCCCGCTCTGCTTCCGCTCTCTTCGAATTCGGATTCGGTTTCGGAGAACGCTCCACTCTCTTCGCTCTTCGGGATCCACTTTTTGCACTCGTATCGGACCGGATCGAATCGAATTGGCGGAGCTGATGCAACAGTGGGCCCAACGGCGGTAAGGGATGTCCAGTAATCTAGTTCACCATGAACGCGAGCTTTCTTATCCGCAAACTGCATGTTGTTGTACCCAAATTTGGGGCTGTAGAACCTATTTTTTAATAAGACGGAGTGAATAACAATTGATTAGATAGGTTGTCTTCAACGCTTAGTGGTCGAATAAGTATATAATCATATTTGAAGAACAGTCGTCTTGACTAATGAAATTCAGAAAAAGTTGTAATGTAACTTAAACTGCAGTATAGTTATATTTTCTGACTTAGTCAATAGGACTGCTTTTGAAATGTATATAAAAAGAATAGGTATAATGTGATTTCGACCTGGGCTCCAAAAATTCTGCTAACATCCCACTGTGCAATGCATTTAAACTGGATTAACCCAAAAGAGCGGGAAATGGTGAGAGAATGGGAGGCTGGGCTTTCACGGGGGCTCTTAGGTACATCCCAACATTTAAGAGAACCAGCGCCTTATCACCACCACAAAGTCTCAATTAACGGCGGCTGTCACGCTGCGATCGTTTGGCATTATGCCTCCTTATAAGCACCTGACAAATGGACGCCACATGTGAATAGTTTCGGGGTAACCTTCAGTCGGCCCTTCCTCTTCCTCTGACATTTTTCTTCGCTAATAACTTTCCAACAATGTTGCGCCGGGAAAAGTTTGGAATTCTCTGAAAAATGCATGTGGTGTAAATTCCTCAGACGTCAACCGCAATCAAGCAATCCCCGTTTTATACTCATATATATACATATATTTTGGAGCCACCAATTTTGGTTTACCAAGCATGAGTCGTCCGTTTGAATACGGCGAATGGATTTCGATCACTGACGTCGAGGGGATTCAGAGAAACTATCTGAATTAAAAAAGAACGATTTGAATAATCTGTCTGGCAAATATTTCATAACCGTTAGGGGGAAAACTTCTTATAGACACCCGATTTCGTCAGAACTTAAAAATTTGGTATGTTGCTCTTTTTGATTTAATAATTTGAGTTCCAAGTGAAATAGCTACGTAATGTTTCGTAAAAAATATTATATATTACAAATTATAGAGCCGTCACCAATCGATATTGAAACAATTTCCAGCTAATCATACACAATCAGAAAGCATTTAACTTTATATTCAATGGAAATTGCTAATAGTTCATAGACTAACGGAAAGGAAACCCACTGCCCGATAGGAAATGCTAATGATAAGGATGGTCTGTGTGAATCACCCAGTGATTTATTTGGGGCTCGTCGAGGATCCATTGCTGACCAGATTCGCTCAAAGTCCCGACCAGAAACTGACCATTTCTTGCGATCTCGCAGATATTCACCAGCATAATGCACAAAAAAAAGAAAATAAAAATAGAATAAACAATCTGATTAGTTGATTAAAGGTCAGTGGATTGAGTTGGGCGCACAGGCTAATCACGGCCAATCAGCGGACCCTGTTAGTATCCCCGATACATCCGCGAACCCCTTGGATTCTTTAGAGCCACGATGAGTGGGCAAGAAATCAAGACCAGTGTCACGATGTCCAGCCAAATTGGGTGACCAAAAGCGGAATTAATGGCATTATTTGTATGCACCATAAGGAGGCTTATACGGGCCAAAAACGATCGATCGTCTCGATCGGAGGAGAGATCTACGTCCGGCCGAGCAGAACGAAACGTATGGGAATGGGATTGGGAAACCGCAATTAGATAATGAGCAGTTTGTGGGCAGGCATCGATCGGCGATCGACCAGGAGTCGTACATAGAAAGCACTCTCCATGTACATTTTATCGATTCGAGAAGATCCCCTTGTCATGTGGCGCACGTTCCGCGATTTGGCGGCCCCAAAAAAATAAGCAATATTTTTAATGAATGAATCTCGAAATCGATCAATCAGTCAGTCCAGCAAATGCAGCGATCGATAAAAATGGGGGGAAAATGTTTTAAAGATCAAAGGTTGCTAGGCATTGGGTGATGGGTCAATGAACAAAGGAATGTACTTATATATATCCTAATATTTTATGTCAGGAGCACAACTCTTTATTAAATTCATTTTATTTAATGATATGATATGAAAGTTACTGAGTCGAGTAGGTTTCTTTGAGAGCCTATAATTTAAATTCCTAGCAAATGTTATATTTAATAACCACAAATAGATTCATCATTTTGACAATAAATTAGTGGAACTGCGTCCTAGTAAATCAATCATTAGATTGGTTAGTTATATATGATATATGGGCCTGTGAATGATATAACTATTAAGTTAAACTATTCATAGAATGTTGACATTAACTACGTTATAAATTATTTTGGCACACTTTGTGGCAGTTAACACTATAAAATACAAAATGGGATGAATTCCATTTTGAAAATAATATTAACAAAGCTAGCTTTAAAATAAAGAGTAATTTAACTTTACAAATATGATTAAATGAAACCACTATAGCTTGAATATAGAGGGTTACTAGTTATCTTATCGTGCTATATTTGGTTATTATTATTAGGAATATTATTAAAATAATATGCAGTTGCGTTTTTTGAAGATCGTAAGATAGTTTCAGTCATTTTTCGTAGTTGCCTTATCTTATTTTTCGTTGACTATTTGGACTTTGTGGTTATAATCTTGTCATTCGATTAGTTATAGTTTTCGCTGTTTTTTTTTCTATGGACGGGATGGTACGTGGGCCAAGTCTGGTTTGTTATTTCTCAGTTGGCGCTGTGGCAAATTCCACTCAATTTTGCCTTAAATGCGGACGTGCCGGCCGGCTTTGGCGTCATATGGGCCAACAAATGGATGGACAGGCCAAAGGGGTCTGGCAATTGGAGAGGGGAAACCCCCACTAGATTACGGGGGACACTCGGCGATGTTTTTTCTTTTAGCACCTGACGCACACCAAACATTCTTTCCTTTTTTTGAAGAGAGCTGATGAAAGACGTCTGCGTCAGCATCAGCTGTCCGTCGTGGCATTGATCCAACAAAAGAGGGCAACATTTCCACAAAACACCGTACCGCCCACCCTTCACCGCCCCCAGAACCAGCCCCATTTTCCACACCCACCCACGCGCCTTCACTCAATCATTGTCCGAATCGCGGCGTAATCCCTTTATGGGTAAAAAACGAAAGCACCGGTCCACGTGAGCGGTCTAAGTAGATCCGGAAATATAGGGGTTAAGTCTGGTGAAACGCCCACCGCCCCCTTTTCTGGAATCACATGAGACACCTAAATCACCTGGAAAAGAAAAGCGTAGATTACTGACAATTTAATTAGCGCTAAAAGTGACAAAATAATATGAAATCAAATTGGAGTGCAGCAGAAAACAATAATATTTACCATAACTTTGTTTTTCCAAGTTGTATTGTCAAGAGTTTTTGTGAGATAATGGTTTTTGTAAGTTGCTTAACATATTACGATTGGGTAAAATGTCTTTAATGATGCTAGGACTTTATTTAGAATCAAGAATGCCCGTTTTTGGTATTTCACCACAAGTTCGACTGATTTTCCCAATGATAAGCTAAAACTCCGATGCAGTTAAGCTTTGTTATCAGTACAAGTTGGTTGTTGACGGCAATCGATTTTGTTTACCAGCTCCCCAGTTCACACAACGCCGTCGTGTGCACCGATCGACATTTATTTGCATTGACTTTTTTAAAACCTATTTTATGGCCCACTGTTGCCGACTGGCCGTTGTTTTCTGGGTCCCTCTCTTAAAACCTAAAAGAGAATCTCTCTTCGGGGGGCTTATCACAAAGGTAGAACGACAGGTTCAATGTCTCTTGAATGCTTTTTCGCACCGATCTTTTCCGATCTTCGCTCTCCCTATGATCTATATGCTACATGCTTATTTGGGTAGGTCAGTTGAGAGCAAATGAGAAGCGGAAAAAGACATTAAACAGAGCTAATAAAAATCGACCGAGTAAGGAAATAATTAAACCCGATCAGTGATAATTAAACCGCACAAGTGTCTTCCAATGGATCGATCGTCATCTGTGGCATGCACCAGGAGAATTCTTCGCAATTGAGTGATGGCGATTAATACTTAGTATTGTTTGTGTTGTTTGTTTTGGCGAAGAATGCTCTTGGGAGTGAGGCAGATTAAGACGAGCATTTCGAAAAATTCCATAAGAATTCTTTCTGTCGTTAGGTTATTTTTTAAGAAAATATATTCATACATGTAGTCGGAAATTATTTTACAACAACTCTTAGCTAACACCAAAATCTCTAATTCATTTGATACAATAAACCTTTCGATAACACAAAACAAGATTACTTACAAATATTAGCTTTCCCATCAGTGTATTGTTAAAATTTAATTGGGTCTTTAGTTTAATCCTTTTGAACAACACTGGGTTAATTAAATTATTAACTTAAATTGCCAATTTAAAACAGCAATTCGTCTTGGCGGAAGGGTTTCCTTGAGCCAGTTAAATTTATTCATGGCTTTGGGGCCAGTGAATTTTTTGTTGGCCATCACTTTAGATTAATCTGATGCGATCGGAACCAGAGTTTGGTCAAAGTAGAGTGGAGCATTATCTCTGGCCAACGATCGCTCGCAAATTGCTCTGTTTCGGTTTTGGATATATGTAAACCTTTTTGTGGAATTCTTTTGCTTTCATTGATTTCAATTTGCAAATTGCGGCGGCACAGCGGAATTGCGCTTTGTTTCCCACAGCAAAGGAATAACGACCCCATCCCCGTTCCGAGTTCCCGGCTTCCCATTCGATGGCAGTCCATCATGTATGCGAAGCTGTCCAGCCGGCAGTTCATCATCATCTAGAGTCCGCTAATCTGCGGTATCTGTAGCTCTACACAGAGACTATTTTTCTACATTATTTTATGATGGGCTCTACATAAAGAATGATCTTAAAAACCAGTTGGAATGTTATTGCATTTCTATATGTTCTGTAGAATAGAATAAGTTCCGATAAACCTGGTAAATGTAGTTATTTTTTGTAAGCTATCAAAGCTACATAATATATAACATTTTTTCAAAACTTTTTTTGAATAGTTTTACCAGTAGTCTAAATTTGAATCTGTTATAATACATCTATATTGACTGTTTTCAGGATACCTGGTCCACTAGTGGCTCATTGGTTCTTAAGCTTAATGACAATATTTTTCTCCGTGCATCCGTAAATGTGGCTGTGACTCTTTCTTCTCACTGCCTCTGTGGATTTCGATTTTATTTTTAATGCTTTTTGTGGCTCTCTGAGCTGCGCCTGGTGGCTCAGTGGTTTTAGTGGCTCGGTGGCTCTGTGGCTCTGTGGAGAGTGGCCTACGTGACTCGGGAATCCGCGGCAATGTCCGACGACCGACTGGCGACCGGCGACTGTTGCAAAGCGAAACGATTCGCTGGATCCGCTGGATCCGCCACCGAAAACCTGCCCCGGATCACAATTTGTCCGTCGCCCGGGCAAACCTCTTGATTATGTTATTTATTTATTTAGCCATGCTCGTTAATGTTTAATGTTATTGCCGCGCGTCACCTCAGTCACAAAAACACCAACAATATATATACAAATAAAATCAATCGAAACCAAACCTCATTCGGATTAATAGAAAAGTCCTTTGTCGATAGTCGATAGCGTAAGACTCTGAATAATTTTAAGATACTTGAAAACAGGGTCTTAAAATTAATTTTTAGGCTTATATGCTTAAATGATATAATGATATGATGATATGCTTAATGATATAAAATGATATATGGAGCGAAGAAAAATATACAAACTAGGTTTGATTTGAAAAGAAAAACATTATTTGCTTTTAAAATAAACAAAAATACTTTCAAGTTAGGGTAGCGGAAAATTGAAAACTGCTGGCGTTTCATGTTGCTCGTGTGCAATGCGATCACCTCTGATGTTGCTGTTGTAAGTGTTGCTGCTGTTGGTGTTGCTGTTGCTACTGCCCCGATCCATGGGCGCCCCCTGGGGAGCTGGGAGGGATCGGGGGCCATCGGCTGCGTCAGCAAGACACACAATATTTTTGCATGGCAACAGCTTTGCCTTGCCGTTGCTGTTGCTACCACGAGTCTTACTTTTTGGCCATGTGATCACTGTCTGGGCTTTTTGGCTCGCCAGGGGGTGGGGAATGGGGTAGGGTGGCCCGCCAAAAAAAACTAGTCACAGCATTTTTAATCTGGCCCCAGGCCTGAAGCTCATCCACCTCTTGAACACATGGAACTTCTATGTCTATGTAAATACACTTTACACATTTGTAAGAGAGAAAAAGTTCCAAAATAGATTATATAATTGACTTAATAATAATAATTAATAATAATTGACTTATTAATAATATTAATTTTCAAGACTATGAGCTTTCAATTTAGGGTTCCATTTCAAATATTAGTTTTATATAATCAACCCTGAATTTAATCTTACATCATTTTTAAAATCCACTTTTAATTTAATTCTTTTAAAATTACAACCGATAGATATATTTTTAAGATATATATATGTACTTAAAGACCTTCAGTTTCTCCCGGTGCAGCCTCAAATAGAAATAGGTAAACATGTGGGAAAAGGGGGCGTGCTCTTGTTATACTTGGCGCAATGCAAATCAGTTAACACTCCCGATCAGCGATAATATTTGCCCATTTCAGTTGTTTGTGTGTTTGTCCAGCGTTTAGTGTAACATCTACTTGACAACAGACATTGTTAACCGATTGATCTCCACGGGAGTCTTTTGGCCAAGAGGCTCGGGAGTTTCCGTTACTCTGAAGTATAGTTTATTTACCCATCCACTTTTTGTATTGGCCACACCGACTTGTAAATTACCCACGCATAAACTTGGCACTTGATGTTTCCATCAAGAAGAACCCAATGGCGTTTTACTGGGAGTATGCGGAAAGTTTTCAGCGTTAGGAAAGTACATACACGAATGGGAATTAAACAGAATAAATAATATTTTCTTAGTACTCATGAGGTATACGATTCATGGGCTTTATTTTCCGGTTTAGGACTAGGATGCATTTGTTAGCAAATATTTATATAGTTTCTCTGGATGGGCGAACAAACTTAGGAGCATAAAGTGATTTGTAAGAAGAAATACGCAAGTAAATACTTAATAAATGTACCAGAAATGAAAGCAAATAATAAGTAGTTAATTTTAAAAAGTGTTTTTAATATGCAAATAAATATATTTAATTGATCTGTAGCTGTCACAATAATCATTCACTTTATTGGTCGAATTTGCAGGTTTACCTGGCACTTTTCCAGCCCCTGCACGTGACTCGCCATCAGTTCAAGAAGGTGCTCAACTGCATGAAGGTGATACGTGCCCTGAAATACCAGGAGGTCTATGCCCAGGAGAAGGTTACCAAGGTCGACAGCCTGTCGCTGGTGCTGAGTGGCAAGTAAGTGTTTCCAAAGAGATTCATTTCCGTATTTCGAATGATTGATATACATATATACCTTATTTTACAGATTAGTGGTGTCGCAGCATCAGCGAGCCCTGCACATTGTGTTTCCCCATCAGTTCCTAGACTCGCCGGAATGGTTTGGCGTCTCGACCGATGACTACTTTCAGGTGGGTGTGCACTTCGGTCCTTCGATCAAACGTCCACTAATTTATTAATATTCGAATGTTTGTTTTGCTATAACGACAGGTCTCCATCATGGCCATGGAGGAGTCGCGGGTGCTGATCTGGCATCGCGACAAGCTCAAACTGTCAATTATGGCCGAGCCCTTCTTGCAGACCGTCTTCGATCACATTCTCGGCCGGGATGTGGTCAAGAAGCTGATGCAGGTCACCCAGGTGTGTGGATGTGCTGTCTGCTTTACCAATTAAAAGCGTAGTTGTTACTTTGCATTAACCTTTTTGCAACCTTTTTCGCTTCCAGGTGAGCGAATCGATAGCCAGCAATGGCTTCCTGCCCTCGGGTGGCTATGCGGAGGATGCGGAGGACAAGCCCATGTTGATACTAAAGAAGAGTGTGGATGTGGGCCACGGACTGACGGCCCTGATCAACCGGCAGCTACAGGGTGAGTGAGGCGCCCTTGACCCCTGACCCGGTCTACTCTCTCAACTATCTGTTCACTGACCACCTAATCTTGCCCGGCGGCGGTTAGCAAAACAGAAAAGAAATTTTAGTATTCCCTTAGAAGTTAGAAGAAATTTATTCATTGACATTTTTTTTTTTGCTACTATATAGCAATTTTTATTTGTCTACTTTCATGTTTTGCAATAGTTTAATTCCAAACGTTTGAAATAAGGGCTTGTATATTTTAAAAATATTTTATTGAAGTCTTTTCGAAATATACTCCCTGTACTATTGCTGTGACCGCTGCTGTGGCTAGCCTTTCCCCACGCTTTCATTAACTTTCTTGGTGTTTGGGGTTCTTGATTTCTTGACCTTCGACCTTTGTGTGTCTCTCTCCCCCGAGTCTCTCTATATCTATCTCTGTTTGCACGCTTTCTGCATGGCCTAAAAACCTAACCTCACTTGAATTAAACCCGTAATATAGTTTAATTTGTGATTATTTCTGTTTTTTGTATATTTCTTTTGTGTATTTTCTGTGCATTTTTGATTTTTGGTTTTGTTTTCTTTTTACTTTTTCTACGCCAAAACTCTAATTTTAGAAGAGCATGTTCCTTTACTTGGTCGCACGTACAAACAACAACAACAACTACTGCAACAACTAGAACAACAACAACCCGTACAAGAAGCAACAACAAGCGCCAACAACATCGTGCAAAGTGCAATCTGAAATTATGCAATCGCCCCCGCTGCTGCTGCTGTCCAACTTGCCACGAACAGAAATCAGAGCACTCCTCCGTCCCTCCACCTTTGACCTGCACAACAATATGAACAACAACAACAACACCACCACCACCCACACAAGCAAACAATCATCAGTCATCAGTCAGCCATCAATCACATGCAGCAGCTACGACAACCACAACAGCAACAGCAACATCACGATCATCAGAAAAGATATGCCGAAGAAATCTGGAATCTATCCATCTAAATCCGCATCTTGAATCCCATCATACATATATAATCATCTCATACCTAGCATAGCAACTAGCACTAGCTAAACAAACATCTAACGCATCTAATCGTTCTAATAGAAAACTTTGTATCACCCCACGAAGCCCAGCAAACAGTCAGACACTTGAGTTTTTGTGTAAGCCTTAAGTCTTGGGAAACATAAACTTTGCAACCCAGCGGAAATGTTCTGAAAATCAGTGTTGCCAGGTCAAGGACCATTGACAACCCAAAAAAAACCTAATTAAAAGTCCCTTATTTCAACTAATATTGAGCTACTAAAAATATTTTATAACAAAACCAAATATTGAAGGAGAACCCTAGTAACGTGTTAGCATTGTAATAACCAACAAATTTCTGTTCGCTTTGTAATTCTACCTGGCAACCCTAAACAACTTTATAAACCCATATTTCTCTGCTAATTAAAAATAGTTTGTGTCCCACAAAAAAATATACAAGTGAAAAAAATAGTAGAAATCATGGCAACACTGTTCATTATCCTTAGCAAAAACTATCGCTAGCTGTAGTCAAACCAGTTGTACAAATTGTAATTTATTTTGACTGATCATGGTTGGATGTTGAGTTGTAGTCAGACAAGAGACTTGATTGCTCATAAATTAGTTTCATTTTGAGTGGGCTTTTGAATTGAACACGATCAGACAGCCAACCAAGGCTTAGACCTTAAATTAATTGATTGTGGTTTTGATTTGGATTGAAAATAGTATTATATGATATATCATACAGATTATTTTTATAAAAATGATTAAAGTTGAAACGGAATAGGTTTGGTTATATTATAAAAGGACAATTTATGGATCTATTGATCATAAAAATCTGCAATACTGTCATTTATTGTTATTAACTATTATTATTTAATCACAAATTTGTAATAAAAAAAACTTCAAATTTACAAGTTCTTTGACACGATTGCGATCGTAATGAATAACAGGCAAACTGGTTCGATCAACAGTACTTCAGTTTCAATTACCGATTCAAGATCTCACGATCGATCGGTCTAGCGACAGGTGATAAATGAACTTTTCCGCTGGCCCAAAAGTTTTCATCGCTTTATTTGATTAAATTGATTTGATACCGCTTGGCATTTAATGGAAATTTACTGTGCTGGCACATCCATCAAGTCTCTATATGTTCCATTAACACATTATTATTTTTTTGTACTCCTATATGCATACGTTATTTTTTTCGTTGATTGATTTGCATACAAATTGAGCTTAAAGAAAGCGTGAAAACTAATTAGAATTAATACCGAATAATATTTGATAATGTTAAGCAATACATAGTCTAAGTTGTTGTACATACGCTACAAAATATATATATATTTGCTGTACATAACCCCGAATTGCCCGTAAATCCGAGAACCCCCTAATCCAAGACTCCCCAAGAAAGTGTAATAAACGAAAAGGAATCAATGTGAATGTAAACAAGCCAAAAACGAAAGCTAATAAAAAAACATTATAATATCAAGATGCAGTATTGATCCACTAATCGATCCGCAGCCGAGTTTTGTTTCCAAGAGCGTTGTTGGCACAGGCACGCGCTCGGCCGTTTGACATCATTAATGGCATTGATATGTTTTTTATTCTAATTCGCAAACAATATTTGCTATTTAATTAAACAATTTGGTTGTTGTCGCGATCGCCGCGTGTTGACTGCGATCGTCTATCGTCTGAATAGGGTGAAGTTTTGTGCAGGGCATGCATCCATCAGTCGGCTTGGCAAACAATCTTAAAAAATGGAAAACAAAATAGCAGCATGCCCATAAGCTTACACACAAAGAGCAGCCGACAACAGTACGCATATGCCACGCCCACCTGCCCCATCATATCCGCCCACTTACAGTACCTATTTAGTGGTGTTGTATGGAAAAGTGAATCGAATTGCATTAAGGACGTAACTTTTAAATGGAAAACTAAATGCGGGTAGTAGAACCTTTTAATTCGAAGACCTAAGTTTCATTTTCAATTTATTTATTTATTCAAATAATTTCGCATTTTATTGTGGGCATGTCACTTCATTTTATTATCACCGGCGATCGACACGCGAAAGTATACTTGGAACCTAAAAATACTTGCTACTTGATTAGAGGTTCTGGAAATAGCGCTCGATTCCAATTAGATGTCAAGCGTTATGGATCTATTTTCGGAAGAGTATATACTTAGTCAAATATTTAATCACGTGATAGCGTTATCACCAAATCGATTTGATAGTACCCCTGTTTCACACACCCTGTTTCATATAAATATATGTGCCTGATTTCTCACCCGCCCCCTTTTATGCTAACCACGTTCTTCTACTGATTTTTCACTATCAACAACAACCAGTTTATATCTATGTATGTTTGATTTGTGATGAAATTTATGTATTTGATTTTCTATTTTTTCGGTGACTATAATTTTGTTGTATGTCTAACGTAAACGTTCCAAACCAAAACTCCATCACAAACGTTAATCAACAACAAAACTACAACAACAACACCATCAATCAAAACCAACAACAACTACCACCACGAAAACAGCCCTGCCCAGGATATCGAAGTATTATGATTGCGGTAAGTTTAAAGTGCTATAAGGAAATGGATCTTACGTTTCGGGAACCGAAACCTCAAATGCCCTTGCAGACCGATTGCTAAATATAAATTATTTGAAACTAATGGTCCGATTAAGGTGTTATATTTCCGGGGAAAGGCATGCAGTAAAATATGCATTATGAAAAAATCATACGATCGAAGAATTCTTTGTTTGTGTACATTTCTTAGAGATTTTTGTGATGCCCTCATTTAGAATTTTGAAGATACAAACCGCATCTTAATAGAACATTTTTTTTTTTAAACTGAGAGATAAGTCCGATTCCATCGAGTAATACCATCCAAAATCTCCCCATTCCCTCTGCAAGGGTCTAGAAACAACAACAGCAGTCCACCGCGTATGTATGCTAGCCTGTGTGTGTTCCCGTCTCTTTCTGTGTTAAACCAGCTATCTCTCTCTCAGTCGGTGTTCAAATTTCTGTAGTGTGACCGTTCGTGTGCCTGCTTTTAGATTTGTGCATGCAAAACTTTTTAACTGTAATTGTTTTGGATTTAAGTCAAACTTAATGAGCAAAATGTATTTATAAAGTGTTTGGTAAATTTGGGAATTTTAGCCTTCGCCTCTTCACTTTTCTACCTTGGGTTCTTTAAATGAAGTACCTATAAATGTTTTCTTTTCTTTTTCTTCCCTTTTCTCTCTCTGTACCTTTCAGCTGGGGATCCTAACTCTTGGCGCCTTGGAAGAATCGATGAGACGGACCATGAAACGGCCGTTTGAGAGCGATCGATTCGAAATGTTTAGACTTGTGTTTTTGAGTATTATTAGATGTATATTTTAGGCAATACTGAGGAACGGAAGTTGCGGAAATCCAACAGAGAGGATCTAAGGAACCCAAATACCATGAGTCGTTATACAGAATTATTTATATATACTATATGGAGAAGGTAACAATTCGATCACGGGTATTCTTCTCTTGTAGTCGTGAAAATTACTTAAGGTCATCCTGTACGGAAATTTTATTTGTACCTTAAACCAAAACAATTATAAAGTCATTTATATAGCCAAAATTGTTGTTAGGTGTTTTATTCGGCTTACACAAATTTTAATAGTAATTTTTTTTAACAATTAGCCAAAACGAATAAATCCTAAAGGAATTAAATATTTTTTGAAGCCACTACGAGAAGAATACCCCTTTAAAAAAGAGAATGAAAATATATATGTATACACAAATTATATATTAATTAAAACTAGTCTAGTTGCAAATTGTATTACGCTATAACTACGGATTAGACGAATGACAAACACAATCGAGAATTAGAAGGAGAACAACTGAAATGAAATGTTTATTAATTAAATGGAGAAAAATGTATTTTTTTATTACCCTAAAGTTAAGAGATTATAAACTAAAAGAAATATGAAAAAACCAAATCGTTGAGTGTGCAATATACAGATATAAAAACACGATATGTACATGAATATATATGAGTAGTTAACGGAAAATATGTTTGTGGCTACTCCCCGCTAGATGCAAAGCAAGAAAACATTCCATGTATCATCGTTGATTGAGCCCTTAAAACCCATAGCAATCATTACAATTTTAACATACAGTTCCCGCCTAAATAGACACCTCAATTATTAACCACTTTCTGTCAAATGATTTTAAACCAAAAAGTTGGTCAAATTCAGAGTTCAGTTGTATTTATTTGTCTGAATTTATGCAAGTTCATCAATCACATGTTGAAAAATACGAAAGCCCGAAAAATTAATTTTGTTGAACCATGAACATTAGTTAGGTATAAAATAACACAACCAACAAACAAGAAGAATACATATAAATGAGAGCAGGCAAAAAAAGTTCTAATTAAATGCAAAATATTGTACACTACCAGCTAACAACCCCCCTCAGCCCCCGCCCATGGAGGTTTCAAGCTGATATTTTGATATTTCCGACCCACTCATTTGAACCATTGCCATTATGCGTAGAGCAGGAATTTGGTTTCACGCCCACAGAACTACCCTTAAATTGCAACGCATTGTATTGTATCGATCCCAACGTTTGTCTCATGTAAGTTAAAGGTTAGAAAATAACAGATCCCGAAATCCACATAGAGCATACACAAAACTGCATACCAACCAAACCGAACTAAACCAAACCAAAACAAATAGTTCAATGTATATCGTACCTTTGAGCATAATTAAAAATAAAGTAAACATGACATGATTTAACAATAAAATGGTATTACTAAGGAATAACAAACAGGGGATATGATAAAAGTCTGAGATGCAGAATATAAAATTATTATATTTTGGATATTTTTCATATTTTTATAGATAATGTTTTTCCAAAAAGGTAGGGCATTCGACTATGGCGTTCCATCTTTTTAATCCCTTAAAGGAAAACTGAAACAAAACGTAATCTATTTGTTTTTTCATAGAGCACTCTACATATGGGTATCGTAAGAAACGATATGGCACAAATTGAGTTAATTAAGCGCTCTGTTGTAGGGATTGCCGACCATCAAGACCACCAAGGTTTCCCCGGGCTGAAAATAGACAGTGCTGGTCTGAGCATTCGGAATATTAAGTTTCAGCCTTGGGTGCATAACAGTTGGAGAAGGGACTGCAATTAATGCATGCAAGTGGCCACAGATCCGGACCCAACTTTTGGCCAACAGCAAGGACAATGTCCAGTTGGCCAGCTCGCTAGTTTGCCAGTTCGCCGGCCGCGGGCCAGGCCAAAACTCTCGCAAAGTTGGCCAAACGACATTTTTAATATTTGATGCGGTTTTTTCTACTGTCTGCGATGCCAAGGGGTTCTATTACTATCATACTAAGGAAAAATACGAATCAAATATATAATTTTAAGTGGGATATTTGATTTAAAAGATCTTTCAAAAACCTTTTTTATTTTGTAAGAGTAAAAGTATGCTAATAAAATCTTGAATACTTTAACATATTTTCAATTTTTAAAGTTTTAAAACAATATTTTTCTGAGTGGAAACAAAATGAAATGTATTTTCCCCTACAATATTTATTTGTATTTAATATAAAATCCATATCCTAATTATTTTAATATTTTCAGTCCTTAAAATTTTTAAATAATATATTTAAAAAAAAAAAAATGGAAAGACATATATATATTCATATGATATATATTTCAAATTTATACTATTTATCTTATGTTTATTTGGATAACATCCTAATCTTAATGGTTTTATTACATTCATTGCTGTTATTGCTTTCAACATTTTTCTCAGTGCCATTCGGGGCTCTTCACGGTATTTATGCATGTATTCAAATTGTGAACCACAACCTTTCGACCCTTCCTAACTTTGCTCAGATTTCCACCTTCTGAGGGCGACTTGTGTGGGTGGAGAAGTTCCTGTTCCATGGAATTTTCGCTGCGAACTTTAATTACGTGTATCACTCAGACAAGAAGTCGTCAATTGCAGGCTGCGTGGAAAACTGTTGCATATTTAGGGGGCCGTGGGTTAATTAACTAAGCGGGACTTCAAAGCGAAGTTCTGTGTGCGTGAGTGTATATTTGGACCACAAACAGGTGGACTTAATCCCAGATTAACAGGTCTATGCTTTATTTTTAACTCAGAGCCTGGTCACGTGTCCTGGGGTGTGTAAATACTACAGTACGACCTCTGTAAGAGGAATTAAAATTTATTTTTCAATGAAACTAAGGTTTTCTTGAGTAATTTTTTATTGTTATATATTAAAAGGACAATACTTCGTTTTAATATATATATTATTAAATAATATTATATCTTAGAAGACCTTTCGCGTATCGACAAGTTGCACTGTACACCTGCATGTGTTGCGGTCTTATTTAATGGAAAATACGGTAGAATGATTGAGTCCTGAAGTCGGGCCAATATTGACTCATTTTTTGTATCACCCCGTATTATTTGCCATGGAATTGGATTTTTC